AAGATAAAGAGCTGTGGTCATAAATCATACACCTTCATCCCGGCCCAGAAGGCGGCGGATGACTTGTGGTCCCATGTATAAACAATACAGCTTCGAACATGTTTTCCTGAAAAGGTATGTCAGTGGACGACGTTCCGGCTATGGGACAAGCAGGGTGGCTTGGACGTCGAATTCGGGGTGGTAGTAGGTGGGTTCGTACGTTTGGGGGCAGTTTCCTCTATTAATCCGACTGTATTAGTGATATGATATTCAAACAGTTGGTGGCCGTGGCTTTCGCAATACATACCGATGCTCGTGGCCTTGCGAATGTTTATCGCCAGATCAGCCTCCGTGCTGCGAAGACAGTCATTAGCCCATGATTCCAAACCATAGTCTCCCGGTCGTCATTTAAACAACCTACCGACTCATTTTTACAGCTGCGACCCGCGAGGTAGGGGCGACGAACGACGGTAGAGCGCTGCGAAAGCCGGAGGGCAACCAAGTCGGAGGGGGCGAACGATCGCGGTATAACGATGGATTGGGCCGTTTGAAAACTGTATACTCGAAGAAAAGAGGAAATCAAAAGAAGGTGGCCTCCCAGTGATGAAATAAAATACAGTGAAAGGAGGAAGAAGTGGAATGACGTTTGGGTAGACAGGGAACGCTGACGCCTGGTGGTTCTCTCCATACAGACAGCTTGAGGCCCAACTCCGCGGGTCTTGGCACCCGCTGCTTCGTCATCGTATAGTTCGGAGGCCTCAAAAAGTTAACAGTATCTACTTGCATAGCGCTTCCCTGTTGCACCTCATTATATTTTATCAAGAACAAATTTTTCATTCTCCAGAATCTTAATTCCTTCATTAAATATTCATGGTGATGAACAGGCCTGTCCTAACGCCTGGTAGCTTCAAAATACCAGGGAGCTGCCGTGGTGCCCGGGCCACGCAATCCTCTTCAACTCTCTGTGCGAAACAATACCGAAGACGAGAAAGTGAGACAACCCCAAATAGATAGTACGGAAATATCCTGCTGGTGCCTAGTATCTATAAGAAAATCGACACTTTCACAATAATCGAGCCACAGGTATGCCGTTGCGCCATATGCCCTATGAAACTCTTGCCGCGCGGTCTCAGTTAGATATGTGGAAAATAAAGGTGATAATACTAGACCCGACTTTCAGGAACATCACTCTACGTTTCCCAACAAGGTGTGTTTAGTGACTGGGTGTTCCCTAGGGTTACTCCCACCACGATCCGGATGAATATTTGAAGATCTGTCAAGTGTGGCATCCTGCCGTTCTGCGTTCAGTTGCAGCGACTGGATTTCAGTATCATCTTGGGCTGGAGCTTTAGAAACATCGACCACTGATTTTGGCAGACTCAGGGCCGGGGAGAAGTCGGCCGGGCTGTTGGGGCCAGAGTCATAAGGGGCTTCGATAACGAGTAATTCATCGGGTCGATTTACACCATCTTTCAGGCCAAGTACTGGCTTTCGACGGGGAAATTGTGATTTTTGCGGGTTTTCGTTGTCATCCAATGGGTCCTGCTCCTGGAGAGTTGCCGGCACAGGTTTACGTTTCGGAACCGAGACAGAAGTCCTCTTGTTATTGACCTTTGCAGGAGTTGGCAGAGGAGTGCCCGGAGGAGGAAGCGGATGCCCACGCCCAAGTGGTTCCGTCGGAGTTCCGGCAGGTCGCGGTATTCCCTGCCCTTCACCTGTATTCGATTCCCCTCGTCCAAACATGTTCCATCCCCACTTCTTAGCCATCGAGGTCGCCGTGCCTAGTGATAGCGTGCTCTGAGACTTTTTGTCTGGATCCATCAAGGAAGCAGTAGAGCTACTTGGGCCTTCTAGGATCGAAGACCGACGTGTTTTACTGCTGTTTAATGACGAGCTCGAACGACTGAGCATACCTCCCAGGTTCATAGTAGGTTCACTTGCTTGGGCTGAGGATGGATGTTTAAGCGCGTCACTGTCGGTTTCCCCTGCGCTCTCAAGAGAATCGGCTATAGATGATTCTCGGCTGTGATGCACAGCTTCCGAAATGCTTTGGGTATCACCTGGGGGCGAACTGCTGGATATCTTAGTTGGTGTAGCAGGGGACCGGCTAGATATTTCAGCCATCGCACTAGTGGCATTGCTCCTTTCTTCATTCCTGAAATCGGACAGGATCCCATCCATTTTCCCGTGATCAGCAGTCAATACCGGATTGGCGGTATTCGAAAATGTTCGAGAACGGATCACTCGTGGCGGTGAACCTGCTGTCTTGCCAATTGGAGAGGGTAACGCGGTCGAAGAACCTTTTTCTGTGTATTCTGGGAGAGCTGACTTCTTGCGGGGCTTTACAGAGTTGGTGACAGATTCAGAAAGAGCCGGTGCACTCATAGTACGGTCATCCTTCGACTGCAATACTTTAACCGTATTGTCTTCGCTTCCTTCCGGCATTTGGGGTCGAGTTCCGGATTCATCGGGAATATCAACGGTCGATTCAGGTCGAGATGGTTCTCGCTGCCAAATACCACCACGGAATCGTTGTGTTAACGTATCCAAGAAGGGGACATCGTCCCAAAAAGGTAAGACCACGCTCTCGGCTACAATTTCACGTATCTTGTTCTCGATTGTCCGCAAGATGATACCATATGTGATTTGCTTCGAGCTGACAATCGGTTCGATATCCATCACCATATTGGGCATTACCTCGAACGATACCCACGCTCGATTACTCGGCGGAGGCTTGAACCTTATTAACAAATGTCCCTCTAGCTTTTTCAGCACTACCGCCAAGACAATGTCAACTTCCCTGGCCTTGAAACGCGGCCCCAGATCGATGCGTACGGTGGCCGAGATCTCCACGCGGAAGTTACCTGTATATTGAACGTCTGTTTCAACACAGCAATTCCCATCCACAGTAAGGTCTTTGAGTCTTGGGTTTATGATGAAGGGCGCACCGTTTCCCATATCGATACTTCGAAGACCTATCTTGCTAATAAAATTTGGCTTGTTCACACGGGATATCTTCTTAACGATTTTTGTCCGGACAAATTCTTCCATCTCCGGAGTCCGGTACAAGGCGAGGAAAACTCGACCGAGAACGGCATTGATCCATCGTGTCTGTAGCTGTTCCTCTGATGAATGCAAGCGCTGAACTAATCCGACTACATGCTTCACGTCGAAATCCTGATGCTTGGGTGGACGATCGGAAGAATGTCCCATCTTCGTTTGATTCTGGAGCATGGCGAAATAAAAATCCTCTTTGTCCGACAGATTCTCCGAGAAGAAAAAGAACGGCGGGGTCGGGCCTCCAAGGTCACCAAGTGAGTCAAGCCTCCGTGAAAGGCTGATAGCATTTTTTTTCAACCAGAGTTCACCTTCGGGGATTTCCCCATCTCCACCGTAGATGCTCACGTCGTGATGAGCTAGCGAGATGACATACCTCACCTCCACCTGGTTTGCATCATCATAGAGCATCAAGTGGCCATGCCTGGGTTTCCACTAAAATCAGTTTCCATACGAGAGGATTCAGACGAGTAACAGCTGCGAGAGGTACCTAAGCACAATGTAAAACATATTCCGTGCCCTTTTGCCATTCTTCGCCGTATTTCTTGCCGGCTCAATTGTCGGGGCTTGCTTCCGGTCAAAAAGACTCCTGTACATGGTCTGGTAAACGCTCGGGCTCTCCGCAGCGATTACCTCTCCCGCTGGTGTGGTCCTCTCGGGGGGCTTTCCATTGACACCACCTGGGACATATTCGCGACAAACCACAAAGTATCCCGCAGCGACATCTGTATCATGGGTGCGATAAAATTTCTCCGCTAACTCGTCTGTTCTTGATCGAAGACTGTACTGATCGTCATCTGGGTGGTTGATGGAAGTATCGGCCGAATCGCTGGTGCGTTTAGATTGCGGGGAAGGCGGAGGGAGGACAAGATAAGAGTAGAGAAGGAATAACGACAGGACCAGCGGGATAAAGGTGAGCCCGCCGAGGAGATAGACAAAGAGAACGTTGAAGAGCCCCATTGAAAGCCCAGAAGATCAAACGGGTTTCAGCGAGAGCTTCGCGCCGGCCATCGCCTGGCTCATAACTAAAGAGAGAGAAAGAGGGAGGGATAGGCGCGGAATGAGAACTTGAGGAAGTGGCCTTAACTTGAAGGGGGGGAATTCGTCCAGGAAAGGAGAGTTGGATGTTCAACCGGGGTCCTAAGCTCAAATGCTACCTACCGCCAGTAAGCGCCCACTCGTGACCCAAGCTGTTCCTGCCAGAGTGGTATCTCCGAGAGTAGGTAAATTCATAGCTCGTGATGACGTTACCGCAATTGGCATCCCTTTGGCTTTCCAGATTTCCCCCAACCACATCCCCACGGTCTCCATTCAGAGTGTGTAAATACCATTAAAACCAAATCACATAAATAATTGAAACTCCCCGGCACCGGTACGGCAGTGCGTAATTTCATTATTCAACTCGTGGTCCGCGCATCACGATATACATGCTTGATTCTATCATCATACTTTTAAATGGCCTTCAGCGGTTCAAGATAGGTGCGCTATAGATGTCAATTAATATCAATTTTTCATTAATAGCTATACTTGCTTTCATAGTCGAAAATTCCATTCAACTACCAGCAAGAAATTTTGGCGTCCGCTCAATCTGAAACCCACATCCGAATGAACCAGACCATATCAAGGTGGGTATACCATAATTCGAGTTACGTCTTCGGGTGGGAAAAAAAAAAAAAAAGTTAAGCAATTCACCTCATAGAAACGCCAAGGAGCATGCAATGAGGAAATGATAGGAAAGCCCGAAGTGGGAAACTCAAAAGGTAGAAACATCCAACGAGAACAATGGCCAACCTTCGACGTCAATGGAAAACATCGTTGGGAAGAAAGTGGCGTCGGAGACGCCATTAAGATATGTACTTTAAAAAAGGATAGTGCCTAAAGCAGCGTGAACTGTTATAACGGCAGTAACTAGGGAAGCATTTTCCATCACATCGGGGAGAGATAAAATTGGCACATTGCGAATATTATTCTGCTTTGCCTTGAGTCACCTTGGCAGCTTGGATGGCTGACATCTTCTGCGTCCAGCCCTGCGTTGGTTGTGGCTTTTTAACGGTACGGAGATCATCAGTGGAGAATCCTGAAATGCGCATATTGTAGTTTCGTTCCAGAACAAGCTGTATGTCCTTGATTTCAAGACTCGATGACTGGCGAAGCTTAGCAAGACGGCAGGCAGCGGTAATCACATCATCGACAAAGTCGTCGGCCATTTGAAGCATGAACTAAAGTTAAAATTTAGTTTAGTTGAGCGCCCACCAGGAAATGTTATTGCTTACCTCTTCAGCATCCGGAGTGAGCCCTTCACCTTCACCCCCCCCGGTTACCTGGCGGACTAAGACGTCAAGCATCTTTTTGCTAAGAACTCGCTGGCCTTCGCCTTCAAGAACATAGCCGGGATGTTTCTGTATTGCGGGTTGGCCCATCATACCCATGGCGCCGTGGCTAGGACCGCTAGACAAGGTGGGCCGATCGGGTGCCATGGGAACCGGCTTTGGAGGGGGGACATTAAGATTTTTTGGGATCACCATGTTGATGTTTCGGGCCGAATTCTCGGTTGGTCGGTTCTGGATGTACCCTTGAGGGTGAGCGTGGCTGTTGGCGGCACCCTGATTCATATTTTGTTGCTGGCCCGCGTTCACGCTGCTGGCACCATTGGCGTTATTGTTATTGGAATAGCTTTGTGCAGCCTGTGCCATGGCTGCTTGCTGGGACAACGGACGAGGCGGTCCCTGTACATTCGCACCCTGCGTGGTAGGAGGAGCCGGCGTAGACCCGTCCGATGCAGATGCTTGACTGAATGCTGGGTTATTCTGTTGTGTCTGCAATTGCGGTTGCGGGGGTTGTTGTTGCTGTTGCTGTTGCTGCGGCTGTTGCTGCGGTTGTTGTGGCGTACCCGTGGAAACAGCTGCAGCAGGAGCGGTACCCTGACTAGGAGGTGCTTGACCTGGTTGCGAACCAGTTGGAGACATTGTTGCTTGTGCAGCTTGATTTCGCGCAGCGTTTACAGCAGAATTAATCGTATGGGCTGCTGGGGTTGGTGCTTGCCCGGAATGAACCGCTGTAGGCGCTGTCGTTGAGCCTGCTGGAGCTGTGGGAGCTGTTGTTGCCGGCCTAGCACCGCTCTGCTGTGGAAGTTGTTGGGCTGGGTGTTGTGTTCCCGCCCTCTGTTGTTGCGCCTTAAACACGTCTTGTTGATCCTTGAACTTTGCTAAGAACTCACTACCTTCGCGGAAAAGTTTATCGGCCTGAACCTGACGGTTTTTATATTCTTGCATCTCCTCTTGGGTCATACTCCCCGCACTTTGGCGTTGGCTGATCTGTTGGCGCAGCTCACTCAAACGGGCACGTCCAATTTCCTGCTTCTGGAGCGCGATACCGTACCGAAGTTTAGCCTCTGGGAGCCATGTGCCTGCCTGTTCACTAGAAATATTGGGTGGAAGAAAGAGTTGCAGTGAATTGACCTTTTGCTGAATTTGGGGGAAAAGTTGAGCGAAATTTTGCGGATTCACGGATTGCGATCGTTGGACTGGTTGGTTGGGGGCTGCAGCGGAGGCTGCCTGCATTTGCTGGTGTTGTAACTGTCGATTCTGTTGGAACATCCGCATACCTTTCATGAGGGATTGTGAAAGTTGCGACAGCCTCGAGTGTGCTTGCTGGTATTCCGAAGATTGCGGATCACAAGTATTGAGGATTTCCCAGAAGCTCCGCACCAACTGGGTGTGCTGGACCTTCTGCTGATCGTTGAGATGAGGTAGTTTTTGCACCTGATCCGTTCGAATGAGATTTGAGTGCTGGGGCACCCCGGGCTGAGGGCCTGGGGCCTGGGTACCCTCCATTATGGCGACTTCACCTGATTCTGAGTCGATAATTGAATGGGGCGCTCTCGAGTGAAGGGTAAGGTGAAGGGTCCAATGCGACGTGGGTATCGGAAAGGAGAGGGGGTCGGCCGCCCACGCTTCGGGAGATGCGGCTTGTGAAGATCGATAAAACGAAAAATTGATGGCCTGGATCAAATAGACGAATATTTCAACTCCAAGGTCAACAGGCTCAGGCGATAGAGATGGGCAAGACTGCTTGCTGGTGACGGGAGGGATGGAGCCGCCGAGCGAGGTTCTCGAGCCAGAGCCTCAGGCTTGGCACTCTACGCCTGGGTCCACACGTAGCGAAGTATGTAGAGATAGAAGATAGTATACATCGTTGAGTACTACTGGAGTGGGAGTATTTATATTTACTACTTTGTCGGTATTAAAACTCAATTATTACTTGTAGATTGGGGCTGGATCCATATCATTTATCAAGTGAATGAGTCTCTCCAAGAAATCACAAGGTGTGCTCTAGAACTCAGCACATTGGCCCCGTCTTCACACATTATAGACCCCAGGACATACTAACACAGACTTTCAAGGAACCGATCCGAAATAGGTGTAATATCGTCATCTTCAGAATAATTATGGGTAATACCACCTCACGGCGCGCGAGCGATCCTTCATTTGTTAATACCAAATGGTTGCAGCACCCAATCAAGCTCCGACCGGGGTATATCCATAATCTTCAGCAGCTTTGCAAGCGCGTTCAGTCCTTTATTTTCACCAAATTTGTAGCTTGGCGCGTGGCTTGGCTTAACCCGGCGTCTTTTTCTGTCCGACGCGAGCAATGATCGTGCTGGTAAGGGTTCAGCAACTCTCCTAGAATAAACTGGAGAACATGCCAAACGCAGCCCTTAGGATTTATATACTCCCGCTGCGATATATCAACGCAGATACGTTCAGCTGTAAGCATATACCAGTTCATCCCAGTAAGCCGCCCAAATCACGCTCCATTCCGTTGACGCGGTCCTCCAAGCTCCGTTTTTTCCTTTCCAGTTCCCGTATCTCCTCCAATTCCCGATTAAGGTCCGCATCAGTGACATCCATCACTTCGGGATTGACAGGACTAGTGTGATCGAAGTCATCGTACTCGTCATCATACGAACGGCTCATGTTCTCTAACTCTGCGGTATTCCTAGCTACTCGCTCCTCCAGCTCAGAAATTGACTCTGAAATATGTCGGTTGCGATAACGGAGACTCGCAATCTTATCCTGGGCGCCAGCAACAGGGCTTCGGCAATAATTAGAAAATTTGGTGGAAATTATGCGCGTAACAAGCTCGACTCACTAGACATTACAGAGGATCTCAGCACCTCTAAGTAGGACGTCAATATTAACCTCGCCACGAGGCCCATTGCCTGAGGTTTTAGCGGAACGTTTAATCTCTTCCATCATATCAGACCCGAGCACTCGAGCAACGGCCGACTGATTTCTGTTGTTTCGAGCTGAGTAGATCCGGCTTGCCATAGATTCTGCTTCAAGCTCGGGCTGGAATTGCGTCGCTCGTCTTGTGGCCCTTCTCTGCGCGCTACTCGCTTTCACAGACGGGTCGCTTTGGAACAAAGCTCGTTCATGAGCTTCTGTGTCACGAATCAAAGCAGTTATGTCATGGGCACCAAGGAGGGAGTTCGTAAAGATCCGAGGCGGAGGAAAGCTGGTCGCATTGTTAGCATCGCAGTGCAGTGAACAAATAGACAGTGCCCTCCTCACGGTAGTTCTGCAATCGCATTTGACGAGAGCATTATTTGCTCCAGATGGTTTTCCAAGATCGGCATCTTCACTTCAATCAAATTGGTGCGTTCTGTGGTCTCCAGCTCGTACTTGTTGTCTGCAACACTTCCGGCCGCGTGTTTTGCCAAGAGGTAAACGGTGGTTCTTCGCTGCCTCAGGCTCCTACAAGCTTACCTACCATTCTCGTCGCGAGGTGAAAGGCCGACACGAATCAAACGGTGAAGAAGACCAACACCAGAAATGAGTCCATTTGTGACTTGACTGATACACATTATTCCAACCAGATATCTGCCGTTATCGGTGTCCACGTTGCTACAGTACCGCCAGTTGTACGTATTTCGGAGCTCTCACCCGTTGGTAAGCTTTGTCCCAAGTGCTGATAATGACTAAGCTTCCTGTGCTGGTTCTCTCGCTGTCCATTCTCCAGCGACCAGCCTTGACATCACATCACCACCTCATCAATCACACTCTTCTCATTTTGTCAGGCCTCATCCTTCATCCCCCCTTCGATTATCTGGTGATTTTATTGTATTTGTGGCTCTCTGTGATCTCTGAGGCTTGTTTTTTCCAGCCGCCTTGGATAGTTGCCTTCAAACACCCCTTCATTTGCTTTGGTACCGCGGTCCCCATTTTGCTCACCTGAGCTCCAAGCTACACGCACACCAAAGAAAATGCCGGCTGAGAGGCGCTCTTTGAGATCAAACAACAAGCCAGATACCTCTTCGTCTGCTAACGGTGAGAAGACTCGCTCTGGTTCGCAGAGTTCAAGCTCCAATAAGGATAAGCCTGCGCCTTCTCGCGCCGCCGCCAACAAGGGCAAGTCCACGAAGGCTGCCACTTCGAACACCGCTTCAGACTCCGGCATGGGAGAACAGCGAGATCAAGCGCAAACTAACGGTGCCGATTCGACGAAGAATGGCATGAATGGGTCTGAGGACGTCGAGATGGAAGAGGATACGGCAGGTGGGCCTACATCCTCATTCAACGCCAACAAGGACCGGAAAGGTGACCAGAAAATGACTGTTGTAGTGCCTCCCACCAAGGGCTCCAGGGTATCCGGCGACAAAGGCCAGGACCAGGAAGGCGATATGGCCATGGAGGGTACCGAAGGCGAGGAGCCTGTGTCTGAGATTGACCCTAGGACCAAGGCAATCCAAGGTTGGTTGTCACCACTTCACCGGATCGGTTATAGCTCGCTAATTGGGCTATTTTTCTACGTAACTCAGATATCAAGACAAACTTCACGCTTCTCGAACGCGCTGTCACCCATTTCGATCCCAGGTTTACTCTCCGCGTCTTGAGATCCATATCATCAATGCGCAAACAGGTCACATCGGATGTGCTAGCAGAGATCATCGTTAACGCTTACCCAAAGTCAAGCACCTCGGCTTCGTTCTTGTTGGGTGCGATCGATCAAGAAAACGCTTTCGATGAGGCTAGTTCAAAGATGGAAGTTGACACTGACAAGACAAAGCCTTCTACGAAAGAGGTTTTACCTGAGATTGACACGTATCTGTCTATCCTAGTTCAAATTTATCTGTATGATCGAAAGGAGATTCAGAAAGGCGCCAAATTCTCAACAGGTCTGATCGAACGACTTCGAACGCTTAACCGCCGTACACTCGACTCTCTCGCCGCCCGTGTGTACTTCTATTATTCCCTCTTCTTTGAGGAGATCGCTCCTCTTCCACCATCTCCCGCTGCAACGGTCACTTCAATCCGCCAACCACTACTTGCGGCCCTTCGGACGGCAGTTTTACGAAAGGATGTAGATACTCAGGCCACTGTGATGACGCTTCTTCTCCGCAACTACCTGTCTACCTCTCATATATCACAGGCTGACTTGCTGATTTCGCACAACCACTTCCCCCCATCGGCATCCAACAACCAAATTGCTCGATACCTTTATTACTTGGGTCGCATTCGCGCTATTCAGCTACAGTATACCGAGGCTCATGGCCATTTGATCGGTGCCACCCGGAAATCGCCGTCAAGCCATAGTGCACGGGGGTTCTACCAAGCTTCCCACAAGCTTCTTGTAGTCGTTGAGCTTCTGATGGGCGATATTCCTGACCGTGCGATATTCAGGCAGGCGGCTCTCGAACGGGCTATGCATCCTTATTTCCTGCTCGTTCAGGCCGTCAGCGCTGGTGACCTGGATGGATTCTTGAACATTGTAAATACGTACAGTTCAACTTTCCGGAAGGATGGTACCTACACCCTCATCCTACGTCTGCGGCAGAACGTGATCAAGACGGGCATCCGCATGATGTCTCTCTCCTACTCTCGCATCTCGCTCAGGGACATTTGCCTACGCCTGGGCTTGGATAGCGAAGAGTCGGCCGAGTATATTGTTGCCAAAGCAATTAGGGACGGTGTTATTGAAGCAACCCTTGACCATGAGCGGGGTTTCATGAAGAGCAAGGAGGTCGGCGATATATACGCTACTAGGGAGCCTGGTGAAGTCTTCCATGAGCGTATAAGGGCGTGCTTGGGTCTACATGACGAGAGCGTCAAGGTAATTATACATTCGTGGGACCTCTTTCTATCCTAGAATGCTAACTAACTTGCTTTTCCAGGCCATGCGTTTCCCAATGAACCAGCATCGCCTTGAACTCAAGAGCGCGCAGGAGGCGAGAGAGCGCGAGAGGGAGCTGGCGAAGGAAATCCAGGAAGGAGACATAGACGATGAAGATGCGGGTGGAGACTTTGATGCCATCTAAGGAGCCCGACGGGTTCTAATGCGCGTGCAAATTTGCAAATTTCCGTCTCACTCATAACTCCAAATTTGCTCTTGTTTGGGGTTGATAGGGGGGTCTTTCTACTCTGTGTTCATATCGCAATGTCACCATCATTCGGATCTTGTATGGGGACTGATGCTCCAGTATTCAATTGTTTTCTATATCTCCTGGGTTGTTTCTTTCGATCTAGAGGGCAGCTGCATTAGTTCTGTCGTCTAGCTCACGCTCTTTGTTTGGTGGGCGCATACATATTTCCCGGAGAGCCTTTGTAACTCAATTGAAATTTTCTAGATAAGAGAAGTTCTACGGTGAGACATAAATTCACAATAACAGAGGCTGTTCCTTGTCCTAGCATCATAAATAGTGAAGTAGCTGTCCTGGTATTCACTGTTGAGGCTCCGTTCCGGCCCGATCGGCGGTCTGTCGGCGCTGGAGAAAAACTTCCAAGATTTGCGGACTCACTTCGACGCTCACAACTGCAGTTGCTTCCTCGGAACAGTGAGGTCTTGCACTTTCACTTAAGTATTGCTATCATATCCATGCATATGTTCCATTGAAAGGTCATCTACTCTCAGCCTCTCTGCATTGAGCATGAAAGCTCGTACAATTCCAGCTCGCAAGCTGGCCCTCGCATCACCGGTCACACCACAGGCGACACCGATATGCCGGCAATGCCTCCGCAACGATTTCCTCCTAGACCAATACCAGTTTCAAACACGCAAATATCACCCCTCTCGACGGAAAGATGCTTCTCCCTTCGGCGCCGCCGTTTCTGCAGCTCAGACTCTCTTCAAGGGCTTGCCCAAAGCTCCTCCTGGCATATCGGTCGACCCGCTGAGGATCGTAGGGAAAGAACTCAAATTTCTCAGCAAGAACATCCGCCAGCTGCTCGGGTCAGGCCATCCCACTCTGGATAAAGTGGCGAAATACTACACCCAAAGTGAGGGCAAGCATATGCGTCCGCTACTGGTACTGCTCATGTCCCAGGCAACGGCATTAACTATTCCACCGCAGAACCGTTCTGTATCGGCCACAGACTCCAACTCGTCTGAGACGGTTAATGACCCCATTACATCTCCTTCCGTACTTGCCGATACCAATCCAGACTTCGACCGATTTACATCTTCGTCCTCGACAGCAGGTCAATACGATTTCGCCGGCGATGAGAACATTCTTCCCTCTCAACGACGACTAGCCGAAATCACGGAGCTGATCCATACTGCCTCCCTCCTCCACGACGATGTCATCGACAACGCCGTCACTCGTCGCTCCTCTAATTCTGCGAACACCCAGTTCGGAAATAAGATGGCTGTTCTGGCTGGTGACTTCCTGCTCGGTCGTGCCTCCGTTGCCCTGGCGCGCCTGCGCGACCCCGAGGTTACAGAGCTACTAGCTACCGTGATCGCAAATCTCGTCGAGGGCGAATTCATGCAGCTTAAAAACACAGCTGCCGATGAGAAGAACCCCGTGTTCACAGACGAGACCATCTCATACTACCTCCAGAAAACCTACCTCAAAACCGCCAGTCTGATCAGCAAATCGTGCCGCGCAGCCGCCTTACTTGGACACAGCACACCTGAAGTAGTCGAGGCAGCCTATTCATACGGCCGCAACCTGGGTTTAGCGTTCCAGCTTGTAGACGACATGCTCGACTACACCGTTAGCGGCGTGGAACTTGGCAAACCTGCCGGTGCAGACCTTGAACTCGGTCTCGCGACTGCTCCCCTTCTTTTCGCCTGGAAACAGAACCCCGGACTAGGCCCATTGGTTGGTCGTAAATTCTGTCAGGAAGGAGACGTGCAAAAGGTGCGCCCTTTCACCCCATTCGTTCTACTCAGGAACCGGCCCACTCCTCCCTTTGATGAAAACAGATAGCTAACTACCCCTCACTCTTAGGCCCGCGACCTCGTCTATCAAACCAACGGCGTCGAACAAACCCGAGCTCTAGCCCAAGAATATGCAGACAAGGCGATCGCTGCGATCAGCCCCTTCCCTGATAGCGAAGCAAAGGCCGGTCTGATCGAGATGTGTGTGAAGACCATGAACCGGAGGAAATAAGCTACACCTACAGTCATCCTTGAACCCCAGTTCAAAATCAAATCAAACACAAACCATTGGCTTAGCTGCTATTGTGACACGATTGAACACCTAAGGGCGTGTGGTTCATCTGGCATACCAGCATTTAGATGGACTGTTCTTTGGATCGGACAGTTGGCTCCATCTTACCGACATAACATTATCTTATAGAGTTGTGTCTACCTTTATGTACCAGTACTTTTACCGTTTGCACTATTCTGTTTGGCTATCTTCATGCGTTCCTTTTCTGTACCATATTCATATTGATCATCAGTCTGATAAGACGGCTTGAGAATCTAGGAAATCATAGTATACATTACATAGACAAAGAAAGTTTAGGGCCGTTTATTGGTTATAAAATTAGACGTAACTACAAGTTTTTATCCTTGATTGCTATTTTCCACGGAAAATACCACCTGGGAGCTTGGGTATTCCCCACCAAAAGACTTACAAAACAGGAAGGTAGAGAAATAATGGAATACGCCGAAAAGGTTTCAGAACAAGTGTATGTATTCCAAAAGCAAACAATGCGATGTTGGTATCAATTCTCTACTCACGCATCTTCTATCAGTTCTCTATAAACATGGGGTGATAAGAAAATGATGATTGCCAAAATAATCAACGAAACAAAACCGACAAGGCTAAGCCGCTCAAAACATTCTCACGCGAAACCCACGTCGGTCCCCCAATCAAGTATACAAGTAGGAAAAAGTTAAATAGGATACAATGCCAAATGATGACAATCGGCGCAAATTATGTCAGACCAGGAAAGGCAGGAAAGAATGTGGGCTGTGAAGCAACGACAGGTTGAGAGCCTCAATAAATGAGCATTCTCGGATAGCAACAAAAGGAAATGGAGTCAACGGATGGCATATAGTGAGGGGGTAGGTATTCTGCACGCTCTGGCAGAAACCAAAACGTGCCGGTCAAGCCTACTGCAGCTGGTATTGCTTGCAGGCAGAAGGTTCCCTAAACGAGATCGTAACATATAAGAGAGAAACAAAATGAAACGCGAAGAATTGTAAAAGCATTCCCAGGCGCTTCAAAAGAGAGTCGAATCAGACAGTGTCTAATATGATAAGCGGCAGAGCGCAGTAGAGGACATGATCAGGGTCAAGAACATGATCAATCCTAAATTATCCAGCAAACACAAAAGCCAGGCTGCTGCAATAATAATATCAACAGCAAGCAACCGATTTGGTGTGACAGTGCAGAATTCTCGGCAGCCAATGCTTTCGCTTGCATTAATCATTGGAGCATCAAAACTATCACTTTTGACTCAGTGGTTTGATGGGCTTTCATAGCGTGGGTAATGAAGGAGTACACCATGGCCCTATAAATGGGGAAATGGAAACATTGCGAATGGGATATCATCAAAGTCGCCAAAATAAGGATCAAAAGAGGTATTCACAAGAGATAGAGATCGTCGGGTATTCTTGTTCATCAAACAGAAACAGAGGGATTTGGCCCGTTTTGAAAGGTTCCGTTCTGCTTTTCGGACAACAGCTGAGTGCCGTGATTCGGTGGTAACGGGAGCTCCTTGTCTAGACGGGGGCTACGTTGACTGTGTCCACCAACGCTACTGGCCTCACCGGCTTCGTCAACGATCGGTAACGTATTGGGCCCAGAGGGACCAGTCTCTGCTGGTTGCTGGCCAGGAGGGCCAACCGAACTGTATTCTGACGATTCATTATCCGTTTGTGGTACGGTTGGTTCGTCAAAGTTTGTTTGCTCGGCCGCTTCCGATTCTCGGTTTCGTTCTGCTTCCTCCTTGGACATTGTTATTTTTCTGATAAAGTTGACGAAGCGGTCGCCGTAGCCCTCCGGTGGTATCGGTGATATTTGGGCCCGATCATTGGCAAGGCTCTTAAAGAAGTTTTCTATCCTTTTAATGGTGCCATACTGCTCGGGTCGTTAGCTAAATATTCAACGAGTGCGCGTAGGAGAAACAAACATGTGTCAAACAATCAATAATCCCAAGGTAATAGATTTCTTGGCCAGGCTGGCCGTTTTCATGGGTAGCTCGAAATCCGCCATCGTCAGAATAAAAGACATGGAACTTTCGCTCATCGAGAATCTCGTCTGGCATTTTTGCAGTCGCCTTATCGAGCGGGACTGGGCGCTCTTTTTGGATCAACATTCGAAGCTCACGCGCTTTGCGTTCATTCTCCAATTTGGACGGTGTGCGAATCAACATATTGGGGTGGATCTCCTCTTCACGGTCAGCCCCGGGTTGGAAGACCTGGAGAGTCTTATCACGGAGCTTCTCTTCATTCCCTTTGTCCAAATCATGTATACCCACCAGAAGGGAATAGTCCATGATTTTAAGCCGCTTGAGAAGCTCCACATCGCGCTTAAGCTGGGCTAGGAAGAATTCACGTTTGCCTGGGCCACATTCTAAATGGCGATTTCTTCGAACCCAGTTCAAGTCCTTCATGGTAGACCGGGGGTGATCTTTTATATACTCCTCGCTCACCTCGCGCCCGATCATGGATCCTTTCAAGTCGAAGGTGGAATGGATATCACGGTGCGGTGGGAAGAGATTGTTCATCACAACAAAGTGAATCTTCCGGCCATAGGCCATCTTGACTCGGTGGAGGCCGTAGAATTGTGAAATCAGCGTATTCGGGTTTTGCTCCACATGTTTGTAGTATTCGGGAAGGATCTTTCGCAGCAGTTTGTGTTCGGCGTGGTGGATGGTTTTGATGATATACTTATAATCCCTGGAAAAGTAGAAAAAGCTACCACTCTTCCCTGGCGAGCCTAGTTCCGAGAGTATATACTTGCTCGTAAGAGACATCAAGTAGTCTGCAGGGTCAAGCCGAAATTTTGATCGCAGTCGACGGAAAACCCAAGGCGCGTAGTCCTTGAACTTGAAATCGTACTGAGCAGACGGCGTTAATTCGTTCCCAGTTCTGTAAAAAAAAAGGAAAAAGGAAAAAGTCAGTTAACCACCAATTATAACAGGAACCTCAGAAGACCTGAACATACATGTCGAAAGAAAACTTGTGTTTCGCTTCAAAATCAGCAGGTGTTAGCTCCCGGTCCATTTTCGCATTGATCCTGGAAACTGTAAACCGAATGCCTGTGAGCATATTATAGGATGTAACCCAGTTGGCGTGATTTCGATCAACCTTCGTTCCTACCACCACCCTGTCATCATCTTCCTCTTCACGACGTTTCCTTCTCGAAGCTCGCCGTTGCTTGATGGCTTCCGCCCATCGAGCTGCATCTTCGTCCGGGTTCGCCTCATCCATAGTATCGGACTGATTTGTTCGGGTGGTGCGCCGAGTCAAACCAAGAGATGAACGGCGAACTCCCGCCGTAGGAGATAAGCGACCGCTGCTGTATGCGGAATCATCTGGCTGATCACGGCTACTTCGACGACCACTTGGATTCCTCGGAACTTGTAACGTATGTCGTTGTCGAAAGCTAGAGTTCGCCGAATCTTGCGTGTTGCTACGGTTGACTCCCGCAGCGACTGGTGGGGATGAATGGCGATACGGGCTTTTCTGGGTCGGAGACAGGCGTCCGGAGTCCGGGGAAAGATAGCCACTGTTTTCTGGAAAGGAATTCGACAGTCGTGCTGCTGAAGGATTGCCCGTTGTGTCGGAGCAGACTAACTCATCAACGGATGGTCGCGAGTAATCCCCATTCATCATATGTTTTCCATTAAGCGATCGACGATTTACTAACGATCCATTGGCCGGTTGACTAGCAATGGACGCCGTTGTTGAGCCGACACCTGTATCGGATGACTTGCGGGGGAATTCTTTATCCATCGTAATCGATGGTGTTCTTCCATCCCTCGGTTCTCGAGCGGATCCATTCCCTAGTGAGTGTAGACTTCCATCTTTTGATTGCAAGAAATCTCGATTATAGGAACTGGCGCTCGATCGGGGTCCGGTCAATGAATAGCTGCTGCCATTCGGGAGATGGCGATCGGTCGGAGGAGTGTCAAGGTGATTGGAGTCACCATTGGGCCAATCTGTCCACACAAACGTATTCCCTACAGCGTTCTTATCGTGTGATCTTTCTTGAGGCGCACCGAACGAACGGGGTTGTGTAGTCGTGGCCGTGGCCGTCTGGGAAGGATAATCGTTCGAGAATGACGGCATGGTCGCGGGCTGGACGCCGGGAGGTGCGAACGGCGCAGGAATGTTGGAAAGGCAAGTCGAAATGAGTTGGGAGGCAGAGGAGGTGCGAGGGAGGGGCCAGTGAAGGGCTCCGCTAGACACTCGATTGAGCAGTGGGCGAGAGACGATACTGCAAGGAAGGGGTGGAGGACAACCGATAGATGGCGGATTAGGACGAAAAAACCTTCGAGGTCACAGGAGCGGCCAGCCGCGGCGTGGCAGATTATTTATAGACTGATTACCATGTTCCGGCAGACAGGGAAGGGTGATAAGGCGAGGGTCAACAGGACAGCACTCCCGACAGCGTGTTCGTCGTGTATGAGGAAGGCGGGAGTGAGAAGCACGCAAGAGGGTGCGACTGTGGAGAGAGGGTTGAGGAGATAAGGCGGACAAGATTAGAATATCCAAGAAGGGGCAAAAGAGGGGGCGGGTTGTCGGGGGGAGAATAACGACGAAGCGAAGAATCAATGGAGCGATGATGGAAGTCGGAGGACAGCAACAGCCTTAATTCTGAGCGTCTGGGAAATCGAGAGAGCGCACTGGGCAGGGCCGGCCGGGCGGTCCTGGTACGGTAAGTCTGCAGTAAATGCGCGTAATATACGCAAATCAAGGGTATTATTTATGCCTGAGGCGTTGAATACGATGGAGTTAATAGTATCCGTCTCTTCTATTTTAGCACTGGTCTCTTGAGCTCAAAAAGAATAAATTCAACAGGGGCCCCTGATGTTTGTTGTGTGGCCATTATTGCTACTGCCTAGTTGTCGGGGGATTCCTGAAAAGCAGGGGGAGACGGGGACTGTCCGTGGTTCATGCAAACTCCACTATTCAGTTTCTCAATTCTCACACGTTGGTCGATTCTTTTGTCAGTTTTACCTCAAGGTATATAATGGGGTTGGTGCTCTTTCGGCTCATTTGAAGCTGGGGTTTGCAGATGTTTCTCTCTTATGTTAAAACAGATTTTTTTTTGTTCTCGAGTCGACAGGCGTGAGATAACTCAGCCTGAAAAGGCTGAATCGTAAATCCATCATACCTTGTACAACTCCAGTATAACATGTAATCTTATATTTAGAAACAGTACAACCCAGGACAACCCTTCTCATAACTGAACGTCCTACTCAGTATCTAGTCAAGATGCGAGTCAAATACTTTTTCCACTTGTCAAACAATATATTATTCAACGTTGCTCTCAATTGTCATTATGGTGCCTTCAGCTTGAACCCAAAAGCAGATCAGGTGTCATGCATAAAAACGGACCAACTTCGATCCGTATGCACAACTTTATGCTTCGAACCCTAATTTCCCACCTCACTCCAGCATGCTCATATTACAGCAACACACCACTGGTGCACTTGAAACAGCCCGCAGAAACTATGTAGCAAAGAAAGGGTGCGATGATAATTTCTAGCTAATGTCAGTCACGCTTAGGGTCACCTTGTAGCTTTTTGCAATCCAGGAGCTTTACGCCTTCGCCAGAAATCAAGTACCACCTACCAAATACTTGGATCCCTACAGCCAGCAGTGATTCATTACCAGGGAACAGGAGCAGCAGAACGAAAATAATTTCGACGTAGACATAGTAACAATTGGATCCCAAGCCTCACAGCGAGATCACAGCAAGAAAGCAGTAGTTCCCATTCCAAAAATCCATCGCAAAACGCCGGCCCAACCAATAAAGGGAAAACAAAATTCCCAGACTCGTCACAAAAAAGAGTCTCAAGCAAAAGAAATTACATCAGAAAGGAAAGAGCACACAACCTAAGATATATCCCGAAGCGCATCACGTAAACCCAAAGTCAAAATATCAAGAGGACGCTCAAAACAATCTCCAAAGCATGGCTATAAATCTAAGCCTTCTTAGAGGTCCTCTTGGTTGCCTTTTCGGCGGGCTTTGCCGTCGTCGTGGTCTTGCGACCGGACTTAGTCACACTGACGACTTTCGGCTTGTCAACGACAGCTGGTGCCTTATTGGAGGTCAGTGCAATGAACGTAATAGAGTCTAGCGTGATGACAGCTTACAGATGTAGTGGCCTTTCGAGGCTTTGCAGTGTTGGCCTTGGGCTTAGCGGTTGACTTCTTAACACCAGCGGTTGACTTCTTGGCCTTGGGCTTAGCCTTCTCCGCCTTGTCAGTCTTCTTAGTGGCTGTCTTCTTGGTGGCAGCAGCCTTGGTAGCAGTAGGCTTCTAAAGATGAGTCAGAAACGACCGCCTTACACAACTCAAAGACGAGAATGCTTACCTTCGCAGCGGGTTTCGCAGCGGGCTTTGCAGCGGGCTTAGGAGCAGCCTCCTTCTTAGCAAGCTTCACGGGGCCGGAGGGACCTTGACAAACGCGTTAGCATATCTACTTCAAAAAAGACCGAAAATAAAATAAGATAAAATCAGACGGCATCATGGGTTAGAAAGATGCTCAGCATAAGCAGAAGCAGGCGCAGTGCAAAAAGGGTGGTGGGTTGGGGTGCGCGACAGAGATCAAACTTACCCTTGGGCTGAAGGAAATCACCCTTCTCAACACCAACCTTGATCGCCTTGTTGAACTGGCTATCAAAGGCATTTTGGGAAGCAGGCGCAAGCTTGTTGTTGGCCTGGACGTATTTCTTGATCGACTGACGGCTGTTATGAAGATTCGGTGGTTAGTTTGCGACGCGACAAGGTGATGATGACAGAGGACGATGAGGTCGCGACGCCGCTGAGCTGCGGGTTGAACTGGGGCGAGCAAGAACATCAAAACAACATACCTGCTACCATTTCTCTCTTTCAGCTGAAGCGAAAGGGATTAGCGATCGATATTACGATGAAAAAAAATTAAGAATTCGACGTGGTGTTGGGATGATCATGAGGAGACGTGTCACGGTCGGGAGGTTGCTCCCGCCCGACAGCATCATCCAAGGGTAGCCCAGAAACAGCGTGATTAACTCACATTCAGGATGGCGACCTTGATCATATCTATATGAAACGAATCAGCATTTATTCGCGACTACAGCGATACTAGATTTATCATGACGCGAAGTGGTGGGGTGGAAAGATCAGTAAAAACATACCACGGTAGGAGGCGTGGGTTGGGCCGGCAGACGACTTCTTGGCCGCGGTGGAAGTAGCTTTCTTGGGAGGCATGGTGAAGGAGGGATAGACGAGATGATCAAATAGGAAGTTAGAAGAAGATGAGAAGATCTTGGAGACTGAGAGATCAGCGACAGGCGACGGAAAGTGTGGGTGGAGAGATGGTGGAAGTAGAAAAGAGTCGAGAATCGAGAGCGAAAGGAAGGGAGGCCGCGGGGCATGCGCGCTTTATATAGGGCAGCCGGTGTTGACACAAGATCACTCGCAACCAGCAAAACACGTCAAGCTGCTCCTCTCTTCCCTCCATTTTCTCGCCTCGCTCTCGCTTCTTCTTTATTTGTGCCTTTTCCGCCCCGCTGGTTGGCCAATCTAGATTACTCACGTATTTTTTTGGAATTTTTAATCCCTTGTGCTTTGGCAGTAAACATTCGTCAAAATGTTGGTGTTCGTCTGCCTCTTGACCCGGCGCTTTCCCACTCTGCGTTCCCAACTTTCCAACGCGTCCCCCGTCAAGTTCTTTATCCCTCCTTCTGTCCACCCCCCGGGAATTTCCTTTTCTGTAGGGTACTTTAAGTCGATCGGCACTCGATGAACATTCCAACTGAGCGGCTTGGAACACTCTTCTGGCGTCGAGAGTCGCGACTGTTTGCGCTCTTTCAGGTCGCATCACTCCTGCGTAGTAGCTTGTTCCCGAGCGTTTGTCGCTCCACACAAAAACGTGCGCGCTCACTCAGTTTGGCAAATTTGGCGCATTGTTGATGATCGTACTTATTATATTGATCCAGGCGCTTTCATTTATCCTAGTTTGTGGAGTGGAAGTCGCGCTACGGCTTCAAAATCACTGGTCTAGTCGAGCGCCAGATGAGACGGCCTTCCAGTCGATGATGCAACAACCTCTGCGGTTCAATCAAGCTCATTGCCTCCTAGCATTTTGCGCGGGAGCGTTGAAGCCAGTAGGCGACTGGGCCTCTCAGGTATCTGTCTACGTCCAGGTAGATCTATCCCCTTGCATTGGATTCCCTGGGTTACTGCATCCGGGCGCTGGGAGGTGACGGGACTAGATAGTAAGGGGCCCTCGTGGGCTGGGCCCAAAACAAGTCACGAGGGGAGATGATGTATGGGCCCAAGCAGTCTGCTCGAAGGTTTCAGTTCTCCGCCGGGCCACCCAGTTTACACCTTCGCTTCTGCTTCTGCGTGATCCAGATCTGGATCCGTGGTTTGGCTGCCTGCCTGGTTGGCTGTCCGCTCTTGTTGACGGGCATTGCGCAGTAACTACACGCCACTCTTGCTGGCGAGGCTGTGCGTCCCGCAGTGCAAACCTATGTATACTCGCTTTAGAGTTCAGTAACTTGGATTATGACGAACAGGACCTTGACAGCAACGATCCGCTGCCCCGTTCCCCGGATTCTCTACTCTGAATGCTGGATACTAATTCACGCACCCGAGCCAAGAAATTTGATGCTTAGTAGTTGGTCCACGCAAGGCCCATGCTCCTGCTCTAATTCAATCCATTATTGGCCTATGCGGAACAAAGAAAATGTTGAATCACAAGCTGCAACGCTGTTGAAGGTGCTCTCGGTGTCTGGATCCGTCGCGGTTCACTAACATCATGGCCGCAAACAGCCGCGGAATGCTTGGCTGCGAAGCACATCAAGATACTACGTAGCGTTCAAGAATCGGAAATAACAATTAGTGGAGTTGTATATGTAGTTTGCTGGTTGATTATTATGCATTGAATTAGTCACTGTGTAGCGTGATCCTTAGTTATTCCCTGGAAAGCTAGTTAGTTAATTGATGGGAAATATGGCACGTCATAACGCCCACGTTCCGAAAATATATATTTCTTCCACACAGCAAACACCATATGCGTTTACACGCAACCAATTCCAGCCTTAACAAATATTAATATTTAAAACCATTGTCTATATTTTATTCTACACCGCTACGTTAATATATAAAAAGATGCCATATATTGGCTGAGGTGTTTTGCGATTTGGCTTCAGCGCTACGCGCAACGCGCACCCCGCACACAAAGCAGATCAACAACAAACAAGAGTTTCAGGGCGTCAGACCACCAGGCGCAAAACTACAAATAGCGTGTCGAGCACAGTATATATTGCACAAGGGACCGACAAGGTCTATGTCACACTCAAGTCTATATAACTTAGACCCTGGTAGCTGCTTTGCGCGCGAGATCGCGACACCTCCACCTCGGTAGCAGCCATTGCGGAAATTGTTGTTGTCGTTTGCCGCGGAGCTACAACGGCCGTTTACGGGACTGGAAAAGGGAGTAGCAGATGATACTGGGCATCGAGGCCCTCGGTATGTGTCCATGTAGCTAATGTTGTGAACAAATTTTCAACCCTCACTCCGGAGTAATTACACCGATGAACGCCCTTCCCAGCCATGTGGTCGTGATCCTTTTTATTATTTTGGTACAGTGACAGACCTCATACAGCAGCCCGAGGCTTCGACTTCGCCTCCTTTTTCGCCTTGGCTTCATCCTTCTTGCGCTTCTTCTGCTCTTGAATCTTCTCATCGTGCTTGCGCTTGAGGTTTGCCTTCTCTGCGTCCGTCCTGGCAACAGGCTTGAAGAAGCCCTCCAGACGGGACTGCTGTGCGCTCTTTAGGTTCTTCTGTAGTCGGGCAGCGCCGTTGCGCACTCGGTCTTCATTGAAACCCTTGTCCTTCACTAGAAACTCTATTAGGCCGTCAACATCAGGTGCGTCCCACTTGAAGTCGCATTCGGGATCGTTGGCGTCTCGGACGTCAGGGTTGATGAAGAGTTCCCTGGCGTCCTGGTAGGGCCAGGATTCTGGCATGGTGTATTTCTTTTTGGAATCGTTCTCGATGGACTCAACCACCTTTTCCAAGGTGCCGTATTCTCGTATCAGCTTCAAGGCGGTGTTGGGCCCAACCTTGGGGATGGGTTCTAGGTAGTCGCATCCGAGCAATATACAAAGATCGATAAACTATGTCAAACAGAAATAAGCAAACCGAGCGCCACTCCCAGCGAAATAAGTTACGTACCTGATCACGGTCCATGTTCAGTCCCTCCAGCGCACGGTTCAAGTGGATCTCCTGGATGGGCTCTTTTCTCTGCTCACTAAAAGTAAGATGCCTCAACAGGATGGGGGACTCAAAGCACAGTGTATCCATGTCCTCGGAAGCCGCGGCGTAGACCTTCCCTGCACGGGCAAGCACAGCACATTGCGCTTCCGCCTCAGTGGGGGCATCAATATACGGAATCCCCATCAGCTTCAAAAGTTGCTTGCATTCAGCGTTGTGCTCCCTTGTCACCCGTACAGTCCGCCGCGAGAACTTTTCGACGTCTTCTGCGGTACCGGTTTCCTTTGCTTCCTCGTGTGCTTCGGTGGCTTCGTGTTTCCGTGCACTTCGCTTGGCTAGTTCACCCGACTTGAGCTTCGGTGGAGCTCCATCAAAGACATACAGAGGTTTGATTCCATTGTCTACCATCCGTAGCGTCCGGTAAAACATGCCCATAAGGTGCGACGTAGTTTCTCCGGTGTCGCTCATGAGTTGCTGGCCTTCTGAGCGTACGGCAATGAGGAAACTATAGATACTCATCGATCTGTGGCATTTTATTAGCATTGAATCCCGGCGATTCTAGTCTTCGTAGTCAGGCGATAACGTACGCATCCTATATTCGAAAAAGAGCAGGTTAGCCATGACAAGAAGACTCTCAATGCCAATCGAAAAACTGAGGGATATAACATACGATGGCGACCTTTCGGCCGAAATGAGCTTTGATATCTCCTGCTTTGATAGCATCTGGCGCATTTTCTGAGATCACTTGGTAGAGGTCTGGGAGTCACGGCAGCAATGAGCAAAAAATCCGGGGATCTGCCAGCTTGATAATAAAAATAAGAGATTTACTCACGCTTAATACCCATATTGAATTTTCTGACCTATTCAGAGCAGGACGGGCTCAAGATCACAGGTTTGCGGTTGAAGTGCTGAGCATATCCAGGCAAGAGGGCCAGGCGCGGCCGGAGAACGCGTTGAACGCGCCGACATCATTAGACCGTATCTGGAATAGCGGCGGCAAGCGCTGATACATGTGACCAACCCCACTTGATTTCCCCAAGTTTCCGGTCCAAAGGCTCGGAGTTGGGTGCAGAGGATCGGGTCTGGGAACGCCAGCCGACCTTGGGACGGAATCTAGGATAATTGATGAGGGAAGACTCTGCCGTGATTTCTCCATATATCTGACCATCGGAATTTGTTTCCCTGCACTTCGGCTCCGGAGTCCGCAGACAAATTGCAGGTCACAGGGACCAGCGGCCGCTTGAGTGTCAGCCTACTCCGAGAGGAGCAGTAGATTCGACCGGCCCCGATCTTCTCCAACCCGCCAAACTTACCCCCTCCTTTCCCCCATTTGAATCGCCTGCGGCTGCTTCATAGCATAGATTCTATTTTCAGACGATAAGGCGGAGAGAACCCTGGAAAGTAGATGACAGCGCCCCATGCTAGGCGATGAGCACCTTCGTTGCACAATGAAAAGGAGTCACCCTCACTTTGAAGCCAATGGCGAGGCTTCCTCGGGGTCGTCCCCCCGGGGCGCCCTCCAGCAATCTCAGTCGGAGAATGACGCACGTCAGAGCCCGCATCATGTCCCAAAGATATCACGAAGGATACGTGCTTGCACGGAGTGCAAGCGGCATAAGGTCCGATGTGATATGAGTGCGGGGGAGACTATTTGTCAACGATGTCGCCGGATGGGCTTAGAGTGCGTCGTCAACAAAAGCCTCCAGACATTGCTTGACGACGAAGCAGAGTAAATATTACCCCCCTACTTGCAGCCTGTGATCTAATAAGGAGTTGCTAACTGGCTTTGTGTTACACTGCAGGTGGAAGTCGACTATTGAGCTTGCCATGGCCGATTTACTTCGAAAAGCTCAATTACCTGAGTTGTCGTACTACCAAGCGTTCGGAAGGTCGGCTGAACTGCCTCCTAGAAAGAGAGGTCGCAAAGAGTCAACGGCGTCAATAGAGGATACCCCTCCGAATATGGGTCATAGACCGACGCAGTCAACTGATATCGCAGCCCACGCTGGTGCTGAGAAACCGAACCCGCCTACAACCACCTTGCAACCACAACAACGACAACAACAGCCACCACCACCGCAATATGCTATTGATAAGGAAGAGAATGGTGCAACGTCATTGGTTACTGCTCCGATGGGAAGTTTGTATGAAGTGACTCAGCTGAGTGATATCCGGGCTAGTTCTCCTGAACGACAGCATGCGCATGATCTCGTAACGGATTTTGTTTCTCGCGGAGCAGTGGATCTACAAGAAGCAGAGGAATTGTTTGATCATTTCGACCGCGTCCTGAACCGCTATCTATGGGATGGTATATTGTTGGTGCATAAGGATCTCACATCTTTGCGGAACTCATCTTCTATGCTCTCTGCTGCCATCTTCGCCGTAACCGCTCTCCACCTGCCTAATAAAGAGCGGACTTTCGATACATGTTATACCGAGTTCGCAAAGTTGGCATCGGAATCGATGCTCGACAGGCATCATACTTTAGATGATCTGCGCGCATTGTGTATAGGGGCATTCTGGCTCGCCGATGTAAGCTGGAAGCTGTCAGGGTATGCAGTGCGGATTGCGACGGAACGTAACCTCCATCAAGCCTACCGAAGAGCCACGCTGGGTTCTCCGGAACACAAAGAACAGGCTAGGCTTTGGTATCTCCTCTATGTAAGCGCGATTCTTTCCCCGCCTGCGATATTCGAGTAGATGCTGACCTCCTCAGACTTTAGAACATCACTTCTCTATTGCCTACGGGCGTCCACCTATAATCCACGAAGACTACAGCATCACAAATCATCACACCTTTATACTCTCCCCATCGGTATCACAGTCTGACCTCCGCCTACACAGCCAGGTGGATTTGTTCATTATACTCACTAGGATATACCATGCCTTCGGCCCCGACGTTGACCTAGAGGTTCCAGAAAGTGAATTTTCTACGATAGACAAATTTGACGCTGACCTCGGGGATTGGCGATCCGCATGGCTACCACGTTTAGGTATGATCATTTATTACCCCATCGCGAGTGACGTTTTGAGTTGCCTTACTGACCGCCTGTTGGTGCAGCTGGAAGTCGGTATGTTGGTGCGTACCCTTACAAAGCTGTATTCTTACACTATAATTTCTGCCGCTTGCAGCTAAATTCTGTCGCGCTGCGAACCTATCACTCTTCGACTTCGACGCGTCCCATGTCTACTGAAAGGAAAAAGCGCGCAAATATAGCTATTGAATCAGCGATCGGAACACTCATGGTAGTCTTGGATGAACCTGACATACAACGAGCTTTGGTTGGTGTTCCGCTGTACCTCCACAGTATGATCACATTTGCGGCCGTCTTCCTTTTGAAGATTGCTGCTAAGGGCTGCTCGAGTGCTACCCAGAGCGGCCAAAGCCAGCAAAATTCGATTGCGTCCGCGGGCCTCCATATCGACGTGTCATATGTGCGTTCTTTGGTCGGCCGAATCATTGAGCTGATGGTGTCATGTAGCAAGCGAGCTAGTGAGCGCCATCTCAGCCATCATATATCTCGTGGCTTAAGGAAAATGCTCACGGGACTTGAGGAATGGGAAAAGCGAACCTGCGGCTCACAACAGCCCTCTGGACACAGGCCCCGTGATAATGCTTCAATGTTCAAACCTGTAATAATTCCTGGAGCGGAACCATTAGGCGAGCGTGACACGATCTTGAATCACCCACCTCCCCTCTTAGGGGTTGCTCCTTTATCTGCGGAGAGAGGCAATGGATTCGAATCCGAAATGAAGCAACAAAACGGACTTTCTGAGGGTTCCGTGGATCCCATGATGGTTGACCTGTGGGGATTTGATGAAGAATACTTCCCCACTGGAGTGTTCGATTTTCTTCAATCCCAGATGCCTGCTTGATAGCCTTGTCATATCTTCTGGATCATGGCAGAACCCCCGGATTGAGGGGAACCTAGAGGTTGACATCAGGTCATTGTCTCGTGTGCTCTCCCTCCTCCGAACACAAGTCGGATATGGCCCAGTTTCATAAAGGAACCCCTTGGTCGGATCTTATTGGACTGCCGTTGTTGCACCAGTATTCACTTGGGAACCCAATTACGTACTGGAAAAGATCCTGGGCGAAAGGCGATGCGTGGGTGCCCTGTGTGGCGGCTATCATGCATGTATACTGTAAAGCCTTCACTGACCGTCCTCATTTCATCAAGTGCCGGCAATGCGCCGCGCCTTGAGGTGAACAGCCCGGCCCATATTGCTCAGTTCCGCCTAGGGCAATGTAATGCGGCGGCCTTTTGGGGGTGGGGTAATAGTATTGTGGATTTACCCATTACGATTGTACGGTACTATACTGATAGAAATTTAATGATTGTAAAATCCATATTGAATGAATACCCAAGTAATGTAGTTGGGACTACACTACTGAGTAGCAAGGTGGAAGATCGCCTCCAATGAGGTGCCGGCTTTGGATCGGTTATTGGCTGGTATTTCCGACGGCTCCAACAGCCTCCCGCGGATATACTGATAAGCAGCACCTGGCCTCTCCGCGGGATTCGGGTTGATTCAACTATATAGTGAGGCTCAAAGGCAGGGTATAGCAGTCTCGTATCTATACTTTGGTTAACACAATCTGCGTTGTATTGTCACCTTTACCCTTGGGCTCGTCTCTGGTCGGTCACTTAGAGATCCTCCGAACATATTGCCGAGGTTTGCCTCTTGGAGAACTTCCCCCGCAAAACCTCTTCGCGCCACCACGTACTATCTTTCTCTCAACTGCTCGAAGCATACTGAAGCTCAATTGCCTTCACCAATACCTATGGTATAATTCTTGACTTCTACCTAATGAACTCTTCTTCTCTTTTTCGTACCGCCGCGCGCTCGGCAGGCCGGCTAGGCCAGGTCCGCAACGTGCCACGAATCGCTGCTATGCGTGGATATGCTACAACCTTCAATTGGGAAGACCCCCTGCTCGCATCGGAGCTATATACAGAGGAAGAACTTGCGATTCAGGATACCGCGAGACAATATTGCCAAGAAAGATTGCAGCCACGGGTTCTGGGTAAGTCGTGTGATCCGATGCGCGCAACATCTCTACGCTGCGACGAGCCGCATTTCAGAAGGATGTCTTTGCTAATTCTTTGACTATTTTCTCCTTATAGATGCTTATCGAAATGAGGACTATGACCGAAAGATCCTTGAAGAGATGGGCGAGCTTGGCTTACTCGGTGCCAGTATTGAAGGCTATGGTTGCGCAGGGGCAAGCACAGTTGCTTCTGGTTTAATCACGAAGGAGGTGGAGCGCGTGGATTCGGGGTATAGATCAGGAATGTCTGTACAGAGCTCCTTGGCCATGACTGCCATCCACGAATTCGGAAGCCAGGAACTCAAAGACAGACTTCTCCCGGATCTGGCTAAGGGCAAGCTGGCAGGTTGCTTTGGTCTTACCGAGCCAAATCACGGCTCTGACCCCGGATCAATGGAGACAACTGCGCGTGAACACCCTACACAAAAAGGTGTATACCTCCTTTCCGGCAGCAAGACTTGGATTACGAACTCGCCTATCTCCGACGTCTTGGTTGTGTGGGCCAAATTGCAAAGCACGGGGAAGATTCGCGGGTTTGCTGTCGAGCGCAGCAAATGCCCACCGGGAACGATCGAGACGCCTGCGCTCAAGAACAAGACCGCTCTCCGCGCTTCTATCACAGGAATGATCCAGTTGGACGACTGTCCGGTAGCCGCGGAGAACATGTTCCCCGATGTTGAGGGCTTGACTGGACCTTTTACCTGCCTCAACAGTGCTCGCTTGGGAATTGCTTTTGGAGCCATGGGAGCTCTTGAGGACTGCATTGATCGTGCCAGGACTTACTCTTTGGAAAGGAAGCAATTCAAGGGCAACCCCCTGGCAAAGTACCAGCTAATTCAAAAGAAGCTGGCGGATGCCGCCACGGATGCTACATATGGTACCTTGGCCGCAACCCAGGTTGCCAGACTGAAGGACGCTGGAAAATCCACACCGGAGATGATTTCATTGATCAAGAGGCAAAACTGTGACCGGGCGCTTGCCAACTCTCGGATGTAAGTTACACCTCCACTGCTACACTCCGGCTCTTCTAACCCACTTCCCGTAAACAGACTCCAAGAAATTTTCGGCGGAAATGCTACCAGTGATGAGTATCACATTGGTCGGCACGTAGCGAACCTATTCGTGGTGCAAACATATGAGGGACAAAGTGATATCCATGGTAAGTGTCCGTTGTATATGATTGGTTTGACAAGTAGAAACTGACTTGTTCTAGCGTTGATCCTGGGCCGCGCTATTACTGGTGTACAGGCGTTTGTATAGGGAAAAAGAAGCCGATTACATGCTCCTGAGACTTTTTCCGGGCAGCAACTATACCTGTTCCTTAGAGAGATTTGAGACTACTAGACCCTTATGATATTCAAACTTATGAAATCACGTGGATCTCCTCCATGTGGGCGTGTCAAAAATAGAGTAAAAGTTTCGGTTCCGCAGGGCTGGCCAAGCGTACCTAGAAAGGGTCAATAATAGTATGTTGGGCGAAGGCCACCGTTGATAGCGGCACCTCGTAACATAGGGCGTCTGGAGTGTCCGCTTTGCCGCCTTACGGAAGCATGAATAAAACATCGAGGCTCCTGGAAATTTCAAGCAAACGGCACTCAGCCTTGTTCATTAGTCCCTGTCCAGTTAGTGTAAGAACCACGAATCGGCGACTCGGGCTGGTGGCAACACCCAAGTGCGGCGGTTCCACTGGAGATGAAGAATGATTGTCTAGGAATCTAGTTAGTTGAGATGAGATTACTCAGACTTTCCATTGATTTAGATACAACCAAATGTTATAAGCCAAACACAACGACGGAAGATCTGGGCGATTTGCCTTATTCTCTCGTCGGCCATGATGGGCACCCGGCTTATTGTATAGTTTCCCATTTGGGCGGAGGCGGTAGTGGGGCGTTGTGGCGTAGGTGGCTGGTGCACTCCCGGTACAGTATTGTAAAAAGCGGTACGGAAGCGCCCAATGTGACCTGATCCATCAGGCGGTAAGCCCGCAATTGTTGTCAAAGCTGGTTAGTGACGGTAACGCCCGGCGACGGTATTATTTGTAATTTTGTAATCCTCTTCCACTCCCACTCACTTCCCGCTTCTCATTCTTCTTCTCTCTTTCTCTCTTCATTTCCCCTCCTCCAGCCTCGCGCGACGTAATCTCAAACCTGTGAGTATATAACCACCCGCTCTGTCCCCGACATTTCTCTGCCTTCTCTCTGTCGACTACTGTCCGTTTCGGAGCTTCCTGCTATTTTTCTTTTACTTCGTCAATCAAAGCAGAAAGTTTCTCTCTACCGTTGCTGACCGTGGACACTCGACTCTGCAGATACCCGCCTTCAAATTCGATAACACCACTCATTGCTCAACCGTCGACCGGTTGTTTGAGAACTTCTTTTCTGTTTATTCTTTCTTTTCTTCACATCAACAAAAATGGCTCTCAAGAGAATTAACAAGGAACTCACTGATCTCGGCCGGTAAGCCATTCCTCCTTTCAGTGTTCCACCCCACCATATCGCGGGGGCGATAATACCCGCCCGCCAGCGACTATACTCAAATTTCAACTTTGCACACACGATGCTAACATACGAATCTTGATACAGTGATCCTCCCTCTTCCTGCTCTGCCGGTCCTGCCGGAGAAGATCTGGTATGCCTTTCCAACCCATGTCTGTCCTTCTCGACAGTCGCCTTTACCGCGGGGCTGTTGGGATGCAGGTCCCTTCATGCGATACGGCAGAGTGACAGTCAGGACTAACGTATACTTTCTCGGAATAGTTTCACTGGCAAGCAACAATTATGGGTCCCGTACGTCAGATTCTCTCCTTTCGCAAACGGTTACTATTGCGAGGTATCATGATTATATGAGCTAACAGATTATCGCTGTAGGGTGACTCCCCATACTCAGGCGGCGTGTTCTTCCTGACGATTCACTTCCCTACCGACTACCCATTCAAGCCTCCAAAGGTCAACTTCAACACTCGGATCTACCACCCCAACATCAACTCGAACGGCAGCATCTGTCTGGACATTCTCCGTGACCAATGGAGCCCTGCCCTGACAATCTCTAAAGGTCAGTCAAACCGGCTTTCTCCACACGTCTTTTTGCGAAACTGACATGAAATGCAGTGCTACTCTCGATCTGCTCCATGCTCACAGACCCCAACCCGGATGACCCCTTGGTGCCTGAGATTGCGCACGTGTACAAGACCGACCGCCCCCGATACGAAGCAACTGCACGTGAATGGACTCGCAAATACGCCATCTGATCTTCGCCTGTCAAGTTTCCACGGCCACACTTGGTCTTCTCAAGCGCTTTGCGTATTCACTCGCTCTGTGACAACATACAGGAAGCCCGGCGTACCGTGATCGTAGATCTTTTCGTTGTTTTTCTCACGGACCATTTGCGCGTGTTTTGAATCTATTCTTAGTTTGTTTCGGGTTTCTCCTTTTGGCGGGAAATGTCATATCCAACGATCATTATGACCACCTCATTATGCATTCATGGCATTTTTGTTTTACTGAATGGAGTCGGACAATGTTATGTGATTCACAATATAACCCGAGCATGATTATTTTTCCTTGGGTCGGGGTCGCCAAGTTGTCGATGCGACTGCGCAGGCTTGCCTGCGGACGGTCCACGGCAGACTGGTGTGCGTGAGTAGTAGCGGTAGGAGGAACGACAATGACGCTATTAAAGGAGAACTGGGTTGTATCAATAACTACTTAGTAGTAAGTAGTGGTAGTATAGTATTGAGACAAGACCATTTCAGACCAGTTGTCCGAAACTACTTGCTATATTTTTGTATGTCACTGCCTTTTTTTTACAATGTCTTATATGAATCTCTTCAAGTTACCCGACTTAGATTGTCTGTTCCCAACACACGCCATGGTCTTCATTGCATTATATAGGTAAAAGCCTCTGTTCATTGTTTGTGCTATGAGTATGTGATAAAAAATAATGTTGCTAATATAACATGATAGACGCCTGTTATGTATGCATTGTAGAATATATGCTTAAGCCAATGAACCACGCACGGTCTTGTAAGTTGTATGCGATATGCGATATGCAGTATGAAATATAAAAAAGCAGGGGAAAAAAAAGCCATCATTGAAACAGCTGTATAGTAAGTTTGTCTGGTCTGGTCTGGAACGCAGCCTTCATATCTGATTGAAGAAGAAAAGTAGAAAATGGCAACTAGACGATGCCCCCAAAGGATTGAAAGCAAAGCCCAGATTAGAAGAATTGGAAATAAATCGGGAAAAAGGTGCAAATTCACTTTACACAACCTGACTCCCTCTCCGACTAGAACCCATCTTCGAACCAGCCTTGGAGCCACCGCCCGCGATGCTCCCACCGGCCTTGACAGTTCGTTTGGAGGCATGGCTCGACACCTGGCTGACGCTGTCACTTGGCCGGACAGGCTCGTCGAATTTACTCGAGCGTCTGGAGGTACCTGTCTTATGGGTGTGGTGACTTTGGCGAGAGCGATGGGAATGAGAGGAGCGTCTAGACGAGTCGCCGCCAGCTTGGCTGATCGAGTCGTCAGGTGTGACATGCGTCTCGACTTCCACGTCGTCGTATCGTGCAGGCCTAGCGCCGCTGCGGTAAGACGCGAACGAGGCTGTTGAGCCTTCAGGGAGAGGGATCTGGCGGGCTGTCCGCGTTGATGAGGCCGTGCTTCCAGAGTGGGACTTTGTGACAGACTGGTGAGAGTGATGAGAATGCTGGGTTTTGGATGCTTTGATGGTAGAGGTGGAGTAAACGCTTCCCGCTTTTTCGGAAATTCGAGATTTGTCGCGGAAGGAGCTGATTAGGGTGCTCACGTCGGGCTGGTACTGCTGAGACTCGTGCGGCCCCGGGTACTCGATCGCTCTGAGGGGAAGTTCACTTTGGTTGTAGACGCTTCCTTCTGAGGCGCGACGGCCGCCATCATCATAGTACATGCTTCCCTTTGGACCTCTGGTTCCGAATTCTGTACCCTCGTAGACGGTACTTGCCCAAGGGTTCTTAGATGTGACGCTTCGACTTAGCGGAGGCCGGGATTCTGCCTGAGAATATATGCTTCGAGCAGCAGGAGGTGCCTCGATGGCTCGGTAGCCCTGGTAATGAGAGGATGCTGGTGAGGACTCCTGCGAGGGAAGTTGACGGAACTCCTGGGGAGCGAACTGTGGAGGTTGATTGGGAGAGGATGTTGGTTCACTCGGCTCCGAATCGCCTTTGGACATGGCGTAGGCAAAGGCAGCACCAGCAGCAGCGCCGATGAGTGTGCCAACGATCGTCTTGGCAGCCTTACCGTCGTCAGTTTTCTGTGCTGCTTGAGTATGAACGACATAGGTCGGCGGCGCTTGCTGAACTTGTTGGGGCGCTCTCTGGATTTCGCGAGATGAAACGACCGTCGGAGCACGCTCTGATGGAATTACCCGATCTACAGCGGTAGCCGCTTTAGATGCGTGGGATTTCGCATTGGATTTGGCAGTGGTGGCCTTCGAGACAACAGAGCCGTTCTCAAGAAGTGCAAGAGCAGGTTGGCTATTGCTAACGACTGATCTGGACACGGTGCTGCCGGTGATGCTTTTCGTGTCTCGTTCAGGTCGATACACGGCCTCAATGCTATTCCCGTCCATGTCCATCACAGCGGCACTGAAGTAGCCCGAATGAGAATCCCGAGTTTTGGGCTCCCCGTGGAGCTTGCCCCCGCCTTTCAGGGCGTGAATGAAGAACGAGTTTACAGCATCTTTTGAGGGGGCGGGAAACGCAACATGAGCTGCACCGGCGGGAAACCTGTAACTTTCTTAGTTATATCGTTATAGAGGATAGGAAGGGTATTTGCATTCAGGGCCTACTTACCCCGGCTTTTGCTCTGTGATCCAGAAATCGGCAGGTTCGTTAGAATTCTGTCCAAAGCCAATATAGTCGTCATGACGACCAATGAATTTATAGCCAAGGGGCTGGAGGCAGGAGAGAAAGAATGACGTGGAGGTGGGGAGGTTGGAAACGGTCAATGTTAAGTGGGATAAAGGCATATTCAATCAGATGGATTATCTCGCTGAGAAGCGAGACTTGAACCGAGAGAAGCGCAAATGGTAAAGGGAGGCAGGTAGAACTGATATCTGGAGAAGCAATGAGAGGGGGATAAAATATATTTCGGACGTGATGCTCGAGAGCAGTGGTAGCGGGGCTTCAGAGCCGTCAAAGGCAAAGTAATTTGATAAATATTATGAGTAGAAATGTAGCAGATGAGTAAAGATGGTATTTAGAAACAGGATTGAAGGGAGTTAATAAAGGACATCGTAGAGGCTTCCACATCCCTTTGGAGTTATCCCTGAAGCATGCCCACGTCGTCCAACGAGAAGCTGCCAGGACGATGATCTCGTAACCATCCCCGTGAGAGCCTTGATATTCATGCGGGCAGGACTGCATGGTTCCAGCAAGAGCCCAGCCATACAGGCGGTGTCCGGGAAACCCAAGCTCCTATCGGGATACATGAAATTGCAGAGACCCACGACGGTCCTATCGGTGAAGCTCGCCACGAGGGGTCGAACAGGACTGGAATCACAGCCAGGTCATCGTGGAGAAGCCTGATGGGGGCCCTGTAGGTGGCCCTGCCGATTAGGAAATGGGTGGGTACCGCTCACGACCGAATCCAAGCAACATCAATGAAGTTTAGTTGGTGAGGCGAGCGATGAAGAAAAAGGTGGACGGTATTGATTGGTTGTAGCATGAGCCTGACGGACTCTGGCGCCGGATATTGCACAAGGCGAAAGCGTGACATTGAGATGCAGCTAGTTCATCGGCTCTCTGCTGAGAATGAACCTGGCTGTCACTTGTCGCTCACGGGGGCCATGGAGTGGACGCCCCAAGAACATCCTCTTGTTTGGTTGGGCGAAGACAGACAACAAAGGCTAGGCTGTCTGACTGGGCACACGACTGCCAATCACGATGGAACAGCAAATGGGAGAGTCGAAACGGTCGAAGGAAAAAAGAGTTCAGACTTCACAGAGCCACGAATGGCCCCTCTTAGGCTCTTGCCGGCGTTGTCGCCTGCTTCTCTGACAATGGGCCGTTTCGTTCCTGCTTTGGGCATGTTTGCTGCTGCTAGTCGCCGGCGGTGCGATCTGACCGCTCGGAAATACCCACTCAATTGCTCCATCGCTTTTGACTCACAGACCAAGCTCTTTTGAACAAGGATTCAGGCCTCACCAGCAGCGATTCCCAAATGCAGGAGGCTATTTTTGGAGAGCCTGATGTACTGTGGAAGCTGAGGCCTGGTGGCCGTTGATCGTAAGCGCGGTCATCCAGCGGGACCAACAGTGCCATAATCCATCCATAGCCCACATGAGTCGTAATACGGGATTGGGACAGAATCATAGAATGTGGTCAGCGGATGAACGGACCCCTAAACTGAAACGGGAGATCCACAAACCAATGGAGCTGGCGATATGTGCTTGCCACGTCGTTGCGAGGAAACACCAACCTTAGCTATTATTGGGGCCACTCAGTCTAAACTGATTACATGAGACCGATTCCCAAGGCACGAGAGCAGAATGCCGAAAGATATCGAGTGAGTCATAATAGGAGGGCGAGCTTGTGATCAAGGGAAGAGGAAGCTGAGGTGAGAGAGCAAAGTAGAGGAACAGACGAAGCTGAAGCCTGAGGCACTGAATGCCTTGCAACTTCCTCCGGCCTCACAGTCGACTTGCATGTTGAAACAGCTATCGAATACTGTACGAATGCTAGTGATTTTAATCTATTGAACAAGTTGGTTTTCTCAAATACTATACAAAAGAAGGCTCCGACCATCAAAATGGCCCGAAGTTTACTAATGTAGACAGCCAGGACTTTGTCGCCAACTAGGACGTTTGCTCCAGGATGACCTAGAGTTTTATGTCATTGTTTATCTATACATATTTATATTGAGCCCAACTAGAGAATACAATACGAGCCACTGCCGCTGCCACTGCCACTGCGCGGTACTTCTCACATGGAGAGCATCAAGTAGCGTCCGCGAACCAGGACCAGGGTTATGGTACCATGTCCGAAGAGGCGCAAAGTGGACAGGTACTGTGGCTGGAGGACCGATCGGGGGCTCCCTCAAGAACGGACTCTGTTGACCCAAATGGTTCCCTGGTGGCTTGCCGGCATGTGTATCACCGTAAGAATAGCTGCACCACGTAAGGACGGAGGCTGCATCGTTGGGCCGATTGGTGTCATAAACCGGAAGTAGCCTGCTGGAACGACAAAGAAAAAGCAAGGCAAAACAGGAAATCGACACATCCAACCCAATCACTGGCAAGGGTTCCACAAGGCAGTAAATGGTGGCACGGAATCAGTGAGGTTATATCCAACATTCGGTATTTGACATGCTTCCGATGAAGCTAGTGATAGTATTCTCTCAAGGAAATTCGTCACATCGTCAACTTGGCACAAGCTCCACCAAGGGAGTGACCGAAATGTCAAGCAGCTTCAAAGGATATCCCAAACTTCCTCAGCAGCATGGCAGAACTTGCTGCATGCTACACTGGCACTAAGACTGTAGTTGCTGATACTAATAGCATCATCCTTGAAGGTGTCCGCAAAGTCATCTTGACCCTTGGCCATAGCCCCGACAAATATACAAATGCTCTCCTTGGGGCCGAGAGACTCAAGGTAGTCCTTGCATCTCACGACCGGCGCCTCGTAACTTAGCGTCACTTTGCGGCAGTTTGGCGGCAAGTGATCAGTAATGGGGTTCTTGATGACCTTGAGTAGCTTTTCTTGAGAGTTGGTGGAGCGAATGGAGAGTCGATGCAAAAGTTGAACCATAAGACCGGCAAAACGCTTGAACGTTCGAGGAATGCGAACAGAGGGGTTCACTTCAATCAAGACGCCTTTGGCAGTGTGAATGAAAATTTGTAGTTTGCCGGCCTTGTTGACGGGAGAGTCAAGGAGCGTAAGAAGGCACTGAAGCGGGCGGTGAGATTAGCATTCATGTCCCTTTTCGAGTAACTTTGAGGGAGGAAATATGGTCTAACCTGGTGGGCAATGTCAGGGCGTGCCTCGCTAATGTCCCGGTTCATCTTGCGCATAACGCCAATGTGCTCATCGCTGTTGAGCAGCGAATACTTCTCGTCCCGGGCTGTGCCATTGCGCCCACCGTGAGAAGCCCTAAACGTCTCCAAACTAGCATGGGAGAGTACCACGATTAAACGCTGCGTCTCCTTGTCGGCAGGAGGGATAGGCACATGCTGCTCAGCGACAAGCTGGGGCAACTCAGGAGGAGGGCAAGACTGAGTCCCTGAGCGGTGCGGCGGACTGTCAGCATCCATAGCGGGCGAATAATATGAAAGAAAATGTGCAGAGTGGCGAGAGGATAATAGAGATAGATGATTGCTAGGTGTGTGGTGACGAATCACCGGATACACCACAGCGATATGGACGCCGGAGCTATGGCGGAGCTTTCTAATGAGCTCGCCGCCGGCTCAACTCCAGCAGAGGGGATGCAAAGTGGTTTTGAAACAACGAGGGGGGAGAGAGAATTTTGACAGGTCGGAAATTGTAGGGCGAGGTGGCAGGAATGAGGGGAAAAATTCAACGGCGAAGAAGATCTGGATTCACCGCACGCGAGAGGGATTCTATTGGACAATGGACACATACTGGCACGCTTTCTTTTTCCTGCTACCTGGAGAGAATCTGACATTGTGAGGGATCGGACTTTTGCAGGAGAGACGATTCGGCGACGGAGACCACGATCAGATGTGCTGATAGGAAAGAGAAAAAAAAATAGGCCGAAGCTGAAGGACTGAAGCTCGGAGATGAAGGGAAGCGGGGAAGGGAAGGGAATGGAAGGGAAGAAGCGGATCTCGCAGGAGAATTGGCGGCTGCACGGCTTATATTATGACAGAGCGCGTGAAATACCGGGGGTCGGAAAGCCTGCAGGGTTGGTTGAAATGGAAAAATCAGAGATCTCTCTGCCAGAAGAGTGAGACAGAGCCGACGCAGAGCAGAAAGGCGGAGTGAAGGTTTTTTCGGTTCTCACCCAAATCTGGGAATCGTCAATCACCGTTGTCGGAGACCAAACCACCTTGAAGGGCACGCGGTAATTTATAGCAACACCTGGTTTCTTCTGTTCCCTGCTGGTGCTGTAAACCCCGCATAAAATATATTGAGCGTACTCGCGTTCTCGATGGAGGGGTTTTGCCCCCATTCAGTCCGATAAGTCGTATACCTGTAGGTGCCAGCCATACTTCGGCCGCATCAAGACGAGACCACTTTTTCTGTTCGGAACTGTCAACTATCACCAAATCAACAACCCGCCGAAGAGTCGGTCGCCAGCATCCGCCGTCCCGCGGGACTGTCGGGACTCAGGAGGCATTTTATGCGTTCAACTCTTCTCTTCTGGGCCATGATTGACCGTCGAGATTTAAGAATCTCCGGTCAGCACCACCTACGGAGTCGACGTGCTTTGGGAATGGTGTTCTTATTGGACATGGTCTCAACTAATGCATTGCTTTTCGGGTCTTCAGTTCCAAAAGAGGCACGGCTCGACCGATGTCAAACTCCGCGAAAAGGGCCCTGTATCTCGAAAATCTAACTCAACTTGGAGCTCATGATCGGTGAGATGACCTGTGTATATATAAAGAGGATACGGTACCGCCACTGGCGTTCGACCCTGCGACGTGCAGTCAGCTCTCCGCTAGCTTCAGATTATTCCCCCGAGTCCCCCGTATACGGAGTACGAGCGTTAACGAGCCTGGATTCCTAGACTAAGGAACTGTCATCTCGATAAAGCATGGCGATTGGCTTCTGGCCATTCAATTCACGCCATCTTACTCAGACCTTCGTTTTGAACGGTCCGGTGGGCGACTGAGCCTGGAGGCTGCTCGGCCCCCATCAGAAGGAATATTCATCCACCCTATTGAGATGTTCATCGCTTTCTCTGTTACATGCGGCCCCCAACTCCGCATAGCCAAGGGTTGGCGGACTGCGACATGCAAGTTGCAACATGTGTGGGATGGTGGGATCTCTTCGAATGACTCGATGTACCACCTGAAATGCTGCACAAACCCAAATGTCCCAGCCATTGAGGGCTCGCACTTCGCAGGCTTTGCACTTGTCACACCGGGTGGCGGTTAAGCTTGATACTGATCGCCAGCGATGGCCTTTCATCGTCCTCCATGCGTCGCCCCATTGCCCATCGAGTTGGGGCAAATTCTTGGATATCAAGTTTTCTGCTTTATCAAAACCCCACGAGAATGCTGGATACTACCGATGCGACGCGGTTTTGCACTTTTTTTTGTGGCCTGAGAATTCAAGAAGAGTGACAGGAAGACAGGACTGCTTTGATTCTCCCTGTAGACCCCAAGTATGGAGCAGTCTACACCGTAGAATGTAGTGATGATCCGTAATGTTCCTCTGCAGATCATCATGGGCTTGAGATGTGGAACTGATTTGCCCCTTCCTGTCGTTCAATCCAACAGGGCGATCGCACAGGACATCTGCTCAAGGTAGTCAAGTGCCGTGGTGGGGGACTGCCCTGATGTGACGGCTTGCCGGGCACCGCGAACGAGGGGTCAGGGTACTTGGATGGATGAGCGTTTGGCTCGGGTCCATGAACTCCGAAAAAGCAAGAATGACGAAGAGGAAGCAAGAGAGCAGTAAGGAATGTTGGGGATGGACGGAGTGCATGCAGCTGGGGAATTCTCGTGATGGGAACCAAGGATTCTCGATGCTGGCTGGCGTATTCGACCAAGCCAACTGAGGATACGAAGCCTACTTTTCTTCTCCTTTTCTGTACGAGACAGACGTACAGAGAGCACTTGAGAAATGCGAAGGCAGTTGGGATCTGGGACCCCCAGGTCCACCCCCCCAGGGCGTGGGTTGGACAGGTTCTACGTATCTTATTTACGACCCGTGGAGACTGGAGAGTCATGTCACTCACCAGGATCAACCAGAGTCACGAACTCACCAGCGATGGACCAGCGTCAAGAAAAATTCGGAGATAGCCCTTGCTTCGAGATCAGGGAGGACGGTGACAAGAATACAGAAAGGGAGAAGTATCGTAGCTAAGAAGGCATCATCCAGCGTCAGGCTTCCGCAAGGGTTGGGCCAACCAAGGCAGGGGAATAAATAATAAGACGAGAAAATAAATAATGCCAGCGCACGGCAGGAGGGACGGCGACGTGAGCACCCATCCACTCATACCAGGGCGCTGGAGAGACATACTTTATGCAGGTAGGGGCGGGCTCGATGGTTGGTCGCTCATGATTTCAGGAGGCGAAGTCTGCCAGTTCTTGGGCTGTCGCAGCGGTCCAGTCGCCAGAGCTGTAATAAAAGGAGTTCCACAAGAATCATCATCAAGACAGCCTCGCCTCGTTATAATTGGAACTTCCTCTCAACCGCCATAGCCCTGCTGTCCCTGCCGTTGTCACTGTTGTCACTGTTGTCACGCTGTCACTGCTGTCACCACGCTGTTGGCCCTGGAGCAATATAGCTGAATCAGGCTAGGTTGGTCCTCACGCGTTTCGTCACCCGTTGTCCATCCGTCGATCACTCGCCGCCGAAGCCTTCCGTGCGTGGAAAATAATCATCACAGGCGTCATCAAGGCAGCATAACACGACCTGCTCCTGCCTCCCCCCTTTGTCTTTCGTCCGGGTACCCATGGTTGCCTTCACCCGATTCTCATGATCTGAAGCATCCACCCCGAGCACGCAAAAACAGGGAGATGCCGTGGACTGTAACGAATTCATTCAAACGGTACGCTTTCTACTAATTGCCCCTCGCACGCAAAAACACCCCTGACAGCTTTCCGACAGAGGTCTCATGATGAAAACATACGGCCGGTCCTCATGGCGCGTCTACGACGATGACCAGCGGCCCGCGGCCAAAAAAAGACGCGTTTTGTCCGACAACGAGTCAGACGCGGCCGAGAAGAGCATTGAGTATGCCATTCGCGAGTCTACAGCCAACGTGCGATCGAGCCCATCGCGCCGGAATTCCCTTGCACTATCGGACGGCTCTCAGGACACTGAACTGTCAACTCCCCCTTCCTCACCCCCGCCTCGATTGTCACCCCCACCGCAGAACACGCGAAAACCTACCTTCTCCTTCCTCAAACGCAAGCACTCGACCACCAAGGAGGGGTCCAATGGGACCCCTCTGTCGGAGGTGAATTCCAACAGCGTGCGCGCGTCTGCTGATCCCCCGAAGAAGAAAACAGCAATACAAGCGCCTCAGCAACCGGCGTTGAAGCAGATGCAACTTGACTTGGGCCACGAGGTACGGAAAACATGCGCGACCTGTGGCATGGAGTATGTGCCCTCCAACACCGAAGACTCGTCTCTTCACAAGAAATTCCACGACATGAACTCTACAGGAGTGGATCTAGGGAAAGCGTTTATGAGGGCGAACGCGTCGCGATGGGTCTACGAGGCGACTCGCTTTGATGAGGGATACGTGGTGATAGTGGATCGCAAGTCCTCCCCGACCGCGAAGAACCAGGCCAAGAAAGTCCTAGAGGTTATCAGTAAAGAGCTGTCCTCGCCGGTGATCGAGGACGAGGTCCTATGGAGCCAGACGGAACCACCGAAACATCTGCGCAAGAATGGGGAGTCGGAGAGGGTCGACAGATACAAGGTTTTCTTGCATATGAAGGATAGTCGGTGTGTCGGAGCCTGTTTGACTGAGCGCATCTGGGAATCTCACGCAGTGGACAAGGCATCTCTACAGGCAGATGGCACCGACTCGGCCGTCACTGTTCGCGACGAGACTCGCTCTGCGATCGTGGGGATCTCGCGCATTTGGACATCAGGCTCGTCACGACGCAAAGGCATTGCGATGGACCTTTTGGATTGCGTCGTAAGCAACTTTATTTACGGGATGGAAATCCCCAAGGACCAGGTGGCCTTCAGCCAACCGACCAACAGCGGGAAAAACCTCGCCCAAGCATTCTTCGGGGCCGAGAACGAATGGCACGTTTACAAGGAAAGCTAAGGTGGGAAGTCGTTTTCGCATGTATGTTTGATGTTTGTAAGGGGAGCAACTAGGCCGACTCCGTCTCTCTTTCGCACTCGCCCTTCATTTTCCCTTTGTCTTCTTACTACATACGCGGCCAGCTGATACCCTTTATTTTCGGGCATTGGGCCAGGAGGGAGGTATACTGTGATGAACATTTATCTTGTGGTCTTTGTATTTGGCGGTGTTTTTTCTTTTTGGATGGGAGGATCATGGGGGATACGATCTATTCTTTGGCTATTCTTCTCTGTACCATATACCTACACTTTATTTTTGCCCCCCCCACCCCCGGTCAGCTTTCAGCCTATTTCGCATTCAGCGCAGTTATAAACAAATTGCAGAGCGTCAGATTTAGTGTTAATTTCCCTGTGCATTGTGCATTGAGTGTCGGCCGTAGCTCTTTCCGGAACCCATGGGGAACGTCAGCGGCGGCTCTTTTGTTGACCCCGACGACTCCGCTATCAGCTTCACCTTCCCCTCTTCTCCCTGCAGCGTCCACCCATCACCAATGTTTCTACCCTTGCTCTCATGACCGGTCCTGTCACGTCTCTCCGCGATGTCTGGATTAAATCCTTTCCGCCCTAAAAAGCCAGAAGGTAAGAATCCCTTTCCGCCGCTTCCGAGTCAACGACCGGAGCCTACGAGACCACCAAGAGATGGACTGACTCTTGTAGATCGTACAGCGCATCGACATCAGCCTCACTCCTCTCCGTCCATAACCTCTCCACCAAATATTCCGGATTCAATGTTTTTGGGCCATCCGTTAAACCCCCCAGTTGCAACAGATCAGACGAACCTCCAGTCGCGGAGTGCCAGCGCTAGTACCACTCCACCTCCGACAGTCAGTGCGCCAGATCCCGACGATTCAGTGACTTCGGATGATCAATCAACTTCGGATCCTTTCAGCCGGGATGTCGATGTAAGTGACTATGAGGCCGAACGGGCCAAAACATCTTCAGAAGCCCCAGCGACAGCTTCCTTTGATGTTCAACAACGTCACCAAGGAACAACCCGCACCACTACACTGTCGAGTCAATCGTCAACCGAAACTGGTCACTCTGGCGACCAAAACCCGAAGACTGATAATCGAGTACATTGCGAAAACGGTGGAGAGTTGCGAGAAAGTATGGTGATTACCAGCTCATTACCCTCGCGCCAGACGCCTGCTTCAATGGTGGAATCAGGCAGAGATGGCACAGTTGATGAGCCGCCACCATATACACACTCTAGAAGATCGAGTCAACCGGTCTCATTAGAACCAGGCATAGATCCAAACGCACTTGTGACTCGTTCTGGAAATAGGGATAGAGTGCCACCGCCTCCCCCGAAAAGTCATCATGGGAAATTAATTAGCCCTGATCTGAGCATAACTCCGCCAGCATCGCAGACTGCTCCCGGAAAAGCTTCAAGCCGGGTCTCGTTTCACGGCACTTCTCCTGTACCATTGGTTTCCCCCCCTCGAATACCAAAAACAGCTCCAGATTACTTCGGCACACCCTCAAGCCAATCCACTGCGCCCACTGATACTCTTCGGCGTAGCAAATCCCAATACAAACGACCCCCCACTCCACCGTTGAGTCGACGGCATAGTCAGATGCGGCGCTCCAAGTCAACTCTTTCAAAACCAAGCTCTTCCCAGCTGTCCGAGTCCCATTCTGCGATTGAGACTACTGCATCGACGCCTTCGAGTCCGGGCTCTCGGTCACTAACTCCCTCATTACGGAGTAGAGATTCCAGAAGTGACCAGATCATTCTTGATGACTCGAAGCCCAACTTCATATTGCAATCGGAGAATATTACACCGTCTTCCATGCAGCCTACGGAAGTATCGCTAGGAACGCAGCCGAATCCTCGAACTGCTTCCAAGCGATCGTCACTCCTCAATACTCTACCACCGCCTCCGCCTCCTCGCCGCACTCGCGGGAGCAACTACAGTAACGATAACAATCGCCCCGTCAGTCTGCGTTCAGAACAACGTGCAGATGAGCCTGGGGACTTTGTCTCCCATCCATCAAACGCGACGGATATCCTGGCAGATCTGTCGCGCTTGCAGAAAGAGGTAGATGATCTTCGCGGACATTACGAGAACCGGCGGGCCCAGTAAACCTGAAGTTATTGTTAAAGCGAGACTTGGTGTAGGTTTGGGCATGACGGGCTGGCTATATAATGTGCACGAAATGATGAAGATTGCGAATTACCATGGATGGTATGGATATGACCTCGCTGGCCCTTTCTGTAGCCTGTTATCTGGGTTAATCAAATCTTCTTAGTAGCCTCATAGCTAGGTTGCATTTTCCCTACTCATTGGAATGGAAAACATGGTAAGTTTTACATTTGAGTTAAGCTCATGGATTTACAACTCACGAAACCAGATATCACTCGTTATCATCTCGCGTACCTGGCGCTACATCCATGGGTAAAACCCCCAGCCGCAGCCTGAACATTGTTATGGTCGAAGCAGTAAAAGTGGCCCTGCTGCAACGTGAATCTCACTTGCCACTCCATCCCATCCTGCAGATCATCGAAGTACTCCCACCTCCACTGACTATTTTCGATATCGGTGCCAGTACAGTGAGAGATAGCCTTATAGAGGGTCTCTCTCCCACGATCCCAAGACGCCCATCCAACACCACGCAAGGTAAAGAAGGCTTCGCTGAAACCCATGTAGGCAAAGCATTCGCCGTCAGGCTCTTCGATCATGGGCCATGGCCTCTTGTTCCCCCTCGGCATGACGATATATATGAACCCCCCCTCAGTATAACTACCGCCCATCTTCCAGTTCATCGGGCTGCCAGACCAGCAGCCATGAACCAGATTTTTAAAAGCCGATTTGCAATTCTCCACGGAGAATTCGCTTGAGCTGTCGCTTCTGAAAATGTAGTACCTATGGCCGTCGGGTGTGTTATCATAGAAAACGCGTTCGTCGCTGTTGCCCCGGAGAATCACATTTTCGCAATATTCCTTGTACGTCCTGTCCATCGTGTCTGCTGCGACGTAACGGCTCCCCGTGACCTCGTGGTCGTAACAGTCAAGCTGGTTTTTTTTACTGCAGGCTTCGTTCGCGACCCCTAGGATTTCGGCCCGTTCAGCAAATATCGCCTCTAGCACAAACGAAGCTATCGTGCGATGGCCGAGTTCGTTTGGATGAAACCATTTCCCCCACCTATCTGGCAGCCCCAGTCCATAGGTCCAGCTGTCGTCACCCGGGCAGTGGGGGGGAAAGGGAACTCGACGCTCCAGACTTCCCTTGGCTTCCGCAGCTGGATTTATAGAGCTGTAAAACATCGAGTTGTATATTTCAGCCTCGTATTGCTGGGCTTCAGTCTCATTGACTGTTCCACGAGACATGAAATCTCGCCTCTTGAGATCATCATGCTCACCGGGCTCTTTAGACCCGAGGCTGGGCCGAAAGAAATGTAATTCAGGTTGATCCTCATCTGGATAATCACGCCCCGTTCCAGGGACGCAAAACTGGCCCACGACAGCCTGGTGAGGCCATATATCCCAGTCCGCGGTTGTGATGCGGTACCCAATCTTGGGGTTTGATTTGTATTCGTCCACGACCTCCTTAATGGCGTTATTGATGTCCCTGACAAGCTTGTTGAATTTTTTACGCCGTTCAACCGTGAGCGGGAGCGCATTCGTACCTGGGACACTCGGGAACGCCCAATCGTGTTTCTCTGCGCAGTCTTCGTTTTCGGTGTTGAAATATTGTGCATAGAGAGCGTACACGAGGATACCGTCTTTCTTGATTTTTTTGTTGAGCTCGGTAAGGATATCGCGTATGTTTGGCTTCAGTATTGTGTCGACGTGGTCCTGCGCTAGCTCGATGAGACTTTCACATGCTTCTTCAGGTTGAAAGGGGTAGAGAATGCAAGTGGTAATGATTTTAGACTTAGTTAACTGGTTGTTAGAAAGTGATCACATCCATCAGGTCTCCTAAGAAAAGGACAAGATAACACACCAAACAAAGGTCATTGCCACCAGCAGTCATAACAACAAGGTCCACGGCCGGCCGCAGATCCACAGCTTGCTTATATATGCCCTCAGTGCGAGCTCCGCTACAGGCAGAATAGTTGAAATACCGCTGACTACCAAATCGTTGTTCCAGAACCGAAGGCCAAGACTGGTCATACCGAGAGCATTCCACGTCTGCGTCGCTCATGGTGTATAATTGGCCGGCACCGATTCCTGCTGTGAAACTGTCCCCGAGGGCTGCCCAAATCTTAACCCAGCTCAAGTCGGTGGGACTCATGGTGTCGGCGCGCGGGGCATGTAAGGAGCTGTCCAAGACGCTGGCGGGTGAAGTTGAGATGTCGATGTCGGAGCTTTTGCGTTGGGAAAGGTAGTGGCCGACTGCAGGGCCTATGAAGATCCATGCTAGGAGAAGCGTATGAAGAGTACGCATCTTGACTGGGGAGAAAGGCCAGTGGAAGATGGAGGAGAAAGAGGATAACGATGTACAGAGAGAGAGACGAAGACGACTCCCATAGCTGTTAAATGGAAGATTTGGGTGCAGTGCTTCGTCCTTTTTTTGGGGTTGAGACGCTGTATTCCTCGAATTTATAACGTTCCACTTCACCGATTCTGAATTTAAGCGTGGCTATCTTATTCAATGATAACCGGCTAGGATGCTGGATTGTGAGGTGGATGATTTGGGCTGTATAAACCGTGTACCTGGTGACCGACTATTTCACTGCTTACGTATATCTATTTTCTAGGGTGTTCATTCTTTACGGTATGACTATCCTGTATTCAGTCCCTACGATATTAGCTGCTTTGCCTTCATTAATCCTGGTAATACTGCTCTCACTCCATCCGCCTTGTGTTTGCCCTAATCTGGTCTATCTCCGCCACAAATGTATGTTTATCAAACCTAAGGTTATGCCATCCATGGAACTTTGAAAAGCCAAACATGTGACAATAATCCCATGAAAATAAAACAAAAACAAATTTTACTTGTCTTATAATAATGCCGTGCCAGCGTGTTATGTGGCTCGTTGTGGCAATTTGATTTGGTTTATATATGAGAAGCCTGGCTTTTGACATTGACCGCTAGATAAAGGTCTGCTTATCCAATCTGTATAGCTCACATTAAAGAAAGCTGGTAAATACACAGTTACCTAAGCACCAGGAGGCTCCCCAGTTCTATTGGTTCCCAAATCCGTGGTATAATCGTTGAAGCCGAAATCACCAACGACAATCTCCTTTTCCTTCCCCATTGCCTGTCCCAAAGCCCCAATCAAGCCACCGTCGTCCAAATCAACAGCCCAAACCATCGTGCCCCCCAGACATCGCTTATTCGCGAACTCCAGCTTCGTTTTCAAGGTTTTCTCGTCATCATACGCAACCCACTGGTCCTTGTCAAAGACAACGATTTGGACCGCGGCCTCTTTGTCTTCGAATGACATTCCCTTCCCCTCCTTGAGGATGCGCGATACCTCAGTTGCGGAGAGAATGCCTGATGTGTTTGTGCATTTGCCAGGCCGCCCGCCCTCGCTCCATTCACAACCGGCTTGTACGCAGTCCGGGGATGCGAGGGTGAAACTGCGGCCATAGAAGCCAAGGCCGAGGTTTATGCGCTCTGGGTTGATGTGGTTGCGCCAGAGCAGCTCCAGGGCGAGGTTGATTTCTGTGAGGTTTGTGTGTGCAAGGGCATATTGGCCCAGAGCCTCGATGGGGCCGTCCCAAACACCGTCTTTGTTGTGGTTATGTTAACATTTGGGATATAGAGAAGGTGCGAAGAAGGGAAGAACTCACGAATGTCGTAGGTCATTATGTTTAGGAAGTCAACATGCGGTTCGAGATGGACGATATCGAATCCTCTCAGATACCAATATGAGGCGGGCTTTATATTAGTGGCAATACCCAGTTAGCTACTATTCAAAAAAAGGCAGACAAGCAAAGTAGGTAGGAAACAAACCAAAGTAATAGACAACCCAATATGCCTCGGAGCATGATTAAGCCTCTCCCGTAGACGTTTAATGAAAGTCACGAAATTCTCAAAGTCCTTTGGCTTGCCACCACGATCATCCGCAACAGGATACTCCCAGTCTAGATCAACACCATCGAACCCGTTGTTCAGTACGAAGCTCACAAGGGACTCGAAGAAGGCATGCTGATTCTCTTCAGATGCAGCAAGATCAGAGAATGTAGTCTGGGTTGGACCTGGATCGTTCATCGCCCAGCCTCCTATGGCAATCCAGACCTTCAGCGCGGGCTGGCGGCGTTTGAGAGCTACAACGGAGCGGTATCTGGACGCCGTTTTATCGTCCATGGGAGCGATGCGGAAGGTATCTGGATTGATGAGTGCAAAGGCGAAGTTGATATGGGTATAAATCCCTAGAGGGATGTTTTCTGGGGTCATCTCTATATGGAGGCATCCGATTAGCATAACGGGAGCCGCTTTTGGAGAAGCCTGAGGTGGGATACGTACTATCACATAGCCTTCCTTCAACGTTCCAACCTTCATAATACCCGATTGTCCGTTTATGGGCGCTTGTGCCGTCGCATTCAGGTGATACCACCTTATTGCCTCCACAGAATTCAGGTGTAGTTCCTGACCAGCACACACTTAGTTACTGGATTGGTATAGAGCTAGAATAGGGGAAGGATGCCATACCGCAAAAACCAAATTTGCTGCAGCAGACATTCAATGGACAAGCCGATGTGCTGGACCACTGTTCTCCCCAGCCGGCATCACACTCGCTTTTTCTGTCGCAGGATGAGCTGCATCCTTTCCCGCAGAAATCCGGACCGAAGCCGCAAGTCCCTTTACCGGTTTTTTGGTCCCTAGATGGTGTCAGTGGCAATCGAGATAAAGAAAGGTGCAAGAAAGCAGGACATACAGAGGCCCGCAGCAGCCAATCTCGCAGGGAGCTGATTTGGAACAGGCATAGCTACCGTCTGCTTTGGCGAGGTCTTGCAGCCATTGATACTGGGAAGCAGCGTATACTTGAAAGAAGAGCCCAAAGGGCAGCAGAGCAAGGGTGGAAATCTTCATGGCAGTCTGCCTCAGTGTTCAGATCGTAAAAGAGACGTGATGGGAAGAGAAGGTACAGAAATCCAGGTGTTATCTTATTAAAACCTTGGACTGTCTTCACTGGAGGCTTAACTTGGAGCTTTCATTTACTACCACTCCTCCCTGACCATATCTAAGCCTTCTCTGCTTCTTTCACTTGCCTCTCCTCATCCATGAACTTGCACTTCACTGCGTTCAACTCCCTTTACTGGGGTTGGTATCACCGACTGAAAAAGCGCAAGTTTCCTGTTACCTTGGATTAAGATAGCCTTAATACTCACTGAACATTCTCTACTCCAGAAACCACGACAAGCGACCACCATCATCAGCAGCATGAGGTCTGTCCTTCTTTTCATCCTGGCTCTGCTTCTCGTCAGCCATTCGCAAGTGGAAGCCGGCAGCCGACTCTGGGAAAGGCCTCATAATCACGCGCAACCTAGATGGGCTCATTTCCCTCCTCCCGATGAGAATGGAGAAGCAGCAGCCTACCCCTGGCCCGACAAGGTGATTCCAGTTTGTTTTAAGAACCCCGTCGCCAAACAAGTACTCGCCCCGTTTTTAAGGAAGGCCATGGACCTGTGGTACGCAGCAGGGCTTCCGGAATCTTATAAGCTCGAAGAGGCATCGGACCACAGGTGCGCCAACCAGCCACTGGAAGTCTTGATGGTGCGTTTGGCTGAGAAAGACGAACCCTTCTCAACGACCGTTGGTAGGCCCCGCAGTTTGAGAGGCGGAGACGGCGCGAGGATGAAAATCAATCTCGTTACCGACCTGCTCCCTGATGTAACAGCCAACATTGCACACGAACTCGGCCACAGTTGGGGCCTGTTCCACGAGCATCAAACATCCCAGTTCTGGGACCTCACGACGGGCATGCCTAAGTTTTTTACATTCAACTGCGAGGCATTATCGGATTTCCCTCTCCACGCAGACAAGACTTTTGCTCAAATATATTCAGTAGCGGGCATATGCCGCAACTACTATACAGCACTGAGCTTCGGATTCGGTGCTACGGAGTTCCTGGCCATTCCCTTTGCTACAAGCCACCTGCAGCACATGACCGGTGTGTCGGAGGATGACGTGGACTGGAAATCTATTATGCTTTATCCGTCCAACATTGGCAGCAGATTCCAGCATATGTTCCCGTTAGAGCATAAGAGAGTGAGCCCTAATCAACCAGTGGAGGAAGTTAAAATTCAACCGAATATCGTGCCATCGCCCAGGGATGTTGAGGGAATTCGCCACATATATGAATCTCCTCAACAGGTTTTAGTAGCAAGTCTTCTGAATGACCCTACTTCAGCGCATTTCCAACAATTTCAGCAATTAGCCCCAGGGTGCGCCTGAGATGGCCGCGTGGAAGATACAAGTTGCTCATAGGATTGGAACTGTGTTGTATTCTGATGAAGAAAAGCGCCAGAATCGCAGCTAAACCTGAAAAAAGAAAAAAAAAGAAAAAAAAAAAAAAAAACAATCCTATCTAGAGTGGATATGATAAAACAATACACCAGTTCATGCATAAGACACCTGGGATTTCATACCGACGGGCAGTAGTGACCCATAAAAACCGAGAGAGTAAATCCCATAACAATAAAACTTGATACATGAGAAAAAGAGACGAGGCTCAGTGAGCACACAAAATATTCGAAACGTCTACTCAAGCACGGCTATCATATTTCTTTCGTAGCTGACCTGAGAACAACAGTTAAACAATGAGAAATGTGACTTCCCATTCAAGTCGTATTCGTGCAACGGGAGTCAAAAGGAAGAAAATATCAACCTATTTCATGGCGATTTCCGGTCCTGCCAGTGGGTTCATTCCTGGGGGCGCAGGAGCAAGACTTGGCCGAGGTGCCAATTCGACCATGGGGGCCTTGCCTCCTCGACTGCTTGCTGAGCCACCGCGACCCGCGTTACCTCCGCCTCGTCCGTGGGATGTCGGTGCACCACCTGCTTTGTCTTGTTCCGCCTTCTTGCTCACGCGAGGACGACGATTGACATTGCCACCTCTTGACCCGGGACCACGGACCGGTAAACCGGTTTCTTGAGAAATCGGGATTGCAGCAGCAAGCGGAAGTTGTTGATGGGTCGTCGCAGGTGCTCGACTGCGGCCGCCACGCCCTCGCCCACGCCCTCGCTTGATTGTTCCATCCGCCCTAAGTCGACATGTTAGTTTGAGCTTGGTGGATGAGTAAAGAGTCAAGACATACCGCTCAACCTGCACTTTTTCTCCTTCAGATACTAGTGGACCGCTGTATACAAAGAACCCGTCCTTACTTGCAGCGGCCTGTTCCTGCCAGACCATTTCGCTATCGTCAACAAACGGATCATCCCGATCATATTCCTCCATCTTCCTCCTGCGACGCCTTTTCTTCCCATCGGCAGGTTCGCTGGTCTGCGCAGCTGCAGCACTCATTGCGCCCTCTCCGTCAGCTTCACTGTCACGATCAACGTCAAGGCTAAGGTCTTCGTCTGCACTCTCCCCTGCTGAAATCCCTCGCCCCAAGCGATCATTTCGCTCGAGTGCAGCGCCCGCCGCGGCTACACGAGCCATGCGTTCCTTGTGGGCTGCTAATCGTGGATGCAGAGCAGCGAATCCGTACTGCTCCTCAGCCAAGCGGGCAAAGTTCACAATTTGATTACCATGGCCTTTGAGCGGTATGTGTACAATGATATTGGGCGTTCGTTGATCCGGGGTATCGGAGGAGCTATCATCCATACCAAATAAAGCGTTGGAAATAAGGCCCGAACCCTGGGGTAAAGGAGGAGCTTCTTTCGCCGCTTTTGCAGGCTTTGGAGAGGGTGGTTTCGACGAAGGTGCCGTAGGAGGCTTGGTCTCCTTCTTGGGTACCTTATCGGGGGCTGAAGTGGCCGAGGGTTCATTATCAACCTCCATTGGTGTTGGTTCCGATTGTGTTTGCTGAATCTGTGATGAAGATGGTTTTTGCTCAGGGATAGATTGTGGCGCCTGAGGATGCGATGAGACTGGCTGAGCGTGCGGTTGGGTTTCTTGAGGGGGCAAGGTTTGTGCAGGCGGCCCATAAGGAGACTGATGCCCATACGGCGACGAAGACGGAGGTAATGGCGAATGTGCTGGGGCAACTGCATGTGTAACTGGTGTCGGCGGATAACTGGTGGCGCCTCGATTCGGTGACCCGTACGGACGCGGCGCATACTGGGGTGGCGATGCGTTCTGTGGGGGATCAATTATACTAGAGATGGCAGGCGAGGCACTGGCGCGAAACGGCCGCGGCGAAACGGGTCGAGGCGGAGGGCTGAAGGATGCAGAAGCTGGAGCTGGAGACGGCGCGGGAACTGATGAGTTCGTACCAAAGGCAGATCGAATTGGATCATAATTTTGACCACTGGAGCGCTGGGGGGGAGGTGCCAATGGCTGGGATTGGGGACGTGACGGAGGTGCAGAGACCATCGTCGGATATGAGGGAGGTGACGTAGTCGGCGTTGGAGCTTGGGGGGGAGTCGGCTGCGACGAGAGGTACGGCTGAGACGGCGGGTGAAGAGAGCGAGTCTCTTGCAGCTGGGGTTGGGATGGAAAATGAGGGTGATTCGATGAGGGCGGCGCAGTCGCAATTGGGGGACTCGGGACGGGGGTAGGAACTGAAGCGGTACCTGCGGGCGCAGACACCGGTGTTGATGCTGGGGCTGTTGAGACAGCCTCAGTACCTGCAGCAGCCGCAGGAGCCGTATCAGGCTCTTGCTTTGGCGGCGTGGCTTCCAACTTCGGCTTCTTGCGGGGGTTGGACGCGGACGGCGTAGAAGTAGGGTTGTTGGACACAGACGAGGACTTGTCTCGGGGACGACGAGTCGACCGTTTCGACTCCTTCTCCTTCTCCTTATCTTTATCCTTGTCCTTGTCCTGGTCTTTCTCCTTCTCCTTCACGTTGTCCTTCTCCTTCTCCTTAGATCTCGCGGACTTCGTCGTCGGCTCTTTGCGGTCGGTTTCAGCGTCGTCGTCCTTCTTCCGACGCGATCGGCGGGGACGGGTTTCAACAGGAGAGCGTGACTCGTGTTCGTCCTGAGCCGACCAAGCGGGCGGCCCAGTTGACATTGTGGAGGAAGTCAATGAGATTGGATCATTGAAAGGGACGACGCGTGAAGGAAGGCGTGAAGGACGGAAGGCGGAGGGCAAAAACGAGGGTCACGGTGTGGGGACTTGGAGGGCTGGGTGACGGCGTTGGCGGGTGGGAGCGGGAAAAGAGTGAATGCAAGATGTAAATCCGCAATTTGATTTGATGGAAAAAAGACAAAAAAAGATGAAAAGATTGGAGGTGGAGGCTGGGGAGCTGGGTGATGGGGATGGGGGATGGAAGAAGAAGAAAAGAACACGAGGAGACGGTGGAGCGAAAGAGCGGAAGAAAAGGGGAATCAGACAAGCAGAAACAAGCTGCAAGAAGGGATGGCAAGGCGAGGCGACCAGAAGGGAATCGGAGCTCTGGATATGATATCGCACGCGGGCAGAGGAGCAGACACTTGGAGGGTCAAGCGACCAGGCGCAACACAGGCGAGCTGACGTGTCTATAATTGGGCTGCCATTCGTATGCTGGTGTGCCAGCCTGGAAGTGCGACCCGGATATCATTTCATTTTCATTTTCATTTTCATGTATAGATGGCGATCGCCCATGCGCCGGGTTGCCATCCCGGCCCGCAGCCCACCCCGACGCGCATGAGATGGCCGTTGGCTATGGCTATAGTCTACAAAGATGACATATGGTTCCTTTTCACAGCGACAAAAAAAAACCGTTTTTCCCCAACGAGAGGGTAGACCTGAGTGGCTTGGTGATGCTGGAATCCCGAACTTCTTTATGTTCGTGGCCGATCAGATGATCCCACACACTTTCCCTCTTTAGGACATTTAGTCACGTGTAATGCTAGTCCCAGCGCGAGCTAGCTTCGAATCTTTAACTTTTGAGCCGCATAGATGACTCAGCAACGTTTTTTTCCATTTTTAGCGCATCCCACTTAGCTGCATCTTTGGATGGCTTCACTTTCACCTCTCGCCTTGTGCCTTTGCTTATCCAACCATGGCTTTCCACGGTGAGCGATTTGAACTCGATCTGGGTCCCGATCCAGAGGATAATCCTCCGGCATCTACTTCTGTCCTTTCCATTCCGGGTGTCATCGGAGAGATCCAGGAACGTTCCCCCGCCGCACCGCCCGCACCTCCCACTCTGAAGTCCGCCAGTGGGTTTCCCGCTCATCGTCGTCGTGCAAAACAGTCGGCATTCAAACAACGACAGGCCCAGCCTAAAGCCACATCTGCAGAAACAGAAAAGTCGACACTTGACTTGCAAGATGAGAAAACAGCGATTGGGGAACAGAATCGCCAGCAACTGGCATCTATGTCCGACGCACAGATCAAACATGAACGCGAGGAACTGATGTCTTCTCTCGACCCGTCATTACTTGAACGATTTCTTCGTCGGGCTCGCATTGATGACGAAAACCTTGCGCCCCCGTCCTCTACTGCGACAACAGGCGGTAGTACTCAAACTACTGCAACTCCTGCTCCAGGAGCAGACCCGACTCCTTCCCCTATATCACAACAAAAATATAATAAGAAAGAAAACACTACTACTCGCATAGACGAAACCCCTCCTTCAACAATCCCTGAAGACCTCCACCCAGCAGCAAACATTCCTCACTCCGGCTCCGTCCACTTTCCCACTCCGCCGCCTGGCACCACCATGCCAACATTAGATCCTTCATCACCCTCCTTCCTATCAGACCTCCAAGCGCACTACTTCCCTAATATTTCTCACGACCCCTCTTCCCTCTCCTGGCTTCAGCCACCCTCATCAGAACCAGATGAACCCGGGGCCCCTTCATCATCCGCCTACCACCCGGGCAGCAGTGCCGAAGCTGTCCATCCAGCGTCTCTACGATTCTCTTTAACCGGCACAGTACTATCGCCCTCAACATCCCTCTCCTTACCAACAACACTAGGTCTCCACCACCATGGTGACGATCCCCATGCTGCCGGTTACACTGTCCCCGAACTCGCCATCCTCAGCCGTTCCTCGTTTCCCGCCCAACGGTGCATCGCCTGGCAAGTCCTCGGCCGTATCTTATTCCGCCTTGGAAAGGGCCAGTTTGGAGAACGAGGGAGTACACTGGTCGAAGGTCTTTGGTCCGTGGTTGAGCGTGAAGGTGTAGTAGCTGGGATGCTGGAGGAGGCAGGTTCGTCGACTTCTACCCCGACTCGCCGCGTGGATATAGACTCTACAGCTTCAGCAGCAGAGAATGAGCAGGACCCGGCAAACACGCAGACGAGCGGCTTCCGCCGGCATGCTAGCGCGTCAGCGTGGGCTGTTGAAGGTGTCTGGCTATGGCAGATGGGCGGCTCTGGTGATCGGGGCATCTTGAAACCCGGCGCTCTCCGATCACAATAGGTTTGTTTAATTATGGAGTGCTTAAAA